TCCGAGAAATTTCCCAAACTCAACTCCAAAGACACATTTCTTGGGATTGAGCATGACATGGTGCCGCCTGAGTGTGGCGAAAGTTTCTCGGAGGTCCGACAGATGATCGTTCTGAAGTTTAGACTTGACAATCATATCATCAATATATGCCTCGACATTTCTCCCAATTTGATCAAAGAACACAGTGTTTATCATTCGCTGGAAAGTGGCCGGGGCATTCTTAAGACCAAACGGCATGACCGTGTAACAGTATAACCCCTGATCAGTGACGAAGGCCGTCTTCTCCTGATCTTTCTTCCATAAAGGAATTTGATGGAAACCAGAGTAGGCGTCCATAAAGCTCATCAAAGCATGGCCGGCTGTTGAGTCGACCAGGTTATCAATTTTAGGCAGAGGGTAACTGTCTTTGGGGCACGCCTTGTTTAAGTCTGTGTAGTCTACACACATTCGCCAGGTGCCATTCGGCTTTTTAACAAGCACCACATTTGCAACCCAGTCTGGGAAGTAACATTGCCGAATGAACCCTGCATCAAGTAATTTTTTAACTTCGGCGGCTGCCGCCTGACTTCTTTCTTCGCCATGGTTCCGCTTCTTCTGCCGTTCCGGCTTCTTTTTCGGATCCACGGCCAGTTTATGTACCGCCAGATCAGGACTAATGCCTGGCATTTCATGGACTTCGAATGCAAAGATGTCTTTGTATTCTTTCAATAGTGTGTGAAAGTCGTCACCCAGGACTCTCAGAGCAGCCGTCCCAACTTTGACTATTCGGTCAGGACGCGAGTCGTCTAAGATCAGGTCCGTATGCTCACCAGCCGGCTGAGGGCGGAATTCATCCGACCGCTCCTCTGCCAATGATTGCTATTTTCTGTCTTTTCTTGCGGCCCCTGTCTGGGATGCCTTTCTCTTCTTGTCGCCTGCTTCTTGAACAGGCGCACTCTCCTTGACATTGTCAAGGTCTATTTTTCCACCACTCGACCCAGTGGCCATAACAGTGGGCTTGACATCCGAGAGATAGCACTCTCGGGCCATCCTCTGATCTCCCCTTAGGGACCCGACCGTTCCATTATCCTTCTCAAACTTGAGCAACATAAGAGATGGGATTATAACAGCCTTGGAATTATTCAGGGTTGGTCGTCCCAGAATCATGTTGTAGGCCGAGAGTTCTTCTACTACCAGGAACCGGACTACCATGTGTCGTCCTTCCCCTTTTTTGCCCAGGCGGATGGGTAAATCCACTCGTCCCACTGGGTGGACGACTCCTCCTCCAAACCCTACTAAAGGGTGGGATGCCGGATGTATGCAATCAGTCTGATATTTTATTTTCGACAGACATTTGCTACTGATGAGATCTGAGGAGCTTCCGGGATCTATGAGGATTCGGCCAACTCTCTGGTTGGCCACTTTACATTCAATAACGATAGGGTCGTCATGCGGCCCTCTTACCCCTCCTAGATCTTCTTCAATGATGACAATCTCAGGAAATGAATATTTGGAGGGCCGTTCTTGGTGAACGGAATTTACATCTAACCGTCTGATATTGTCTTTGTTGCCCCTAATAGTGGGGCCGCCTCCTGAGAAGCCGCCTGCAATGGTGTAGACGACTGCATCATCTGTATCGGAGCTGTCGGCCTGTTGATTCTTTTTGGTCGACTGCTTTTTTGAGGAAGTGTTCCCCGTAGATTTCTTGACATAAGTGTCAAGATCACCTTGCTCAGCAAGACGGTCCAGATACCGCATGAGACTGATGCAGTCATTGGTGTGATGACCAACATCTTCATGATAATCACAGAATTTTTCTTGGTTCCGATTGTTTGCAGAACCCTTCATGGGGACCAGCTTCTCAATTGAGATCCGTCCCTTGATTTCCTGTAGGATAAATTGGCTATCCTTGTTAAACGCATACTTTGGGGAGTATGGTTTGAATTCTTTTTTCTTTTTCTGGGCCGGCTGTTTAGAGGAATCAGCCGCCCAGACCTCTTTTCTTTTCTCGTCTTTGTTTGACGACTGTTTCTGTCGTCCTTCTCTTTTGTCGGACCTTCTCCCGTCTGACTGTTTTACCGTACTACAAAGATCAGTCGCCTGTATATAGGCTTCCGCTTCAATCAAGGCCTCTTGAAGAGTCGCCACCCTCTTTCGGACCAAATCAAATTTGAAGGTCGACCCGTCTTTGAGACCTCTGAAAAATTCAGTATAGGCTACTTCATCCGGTAACCCTTGAATCTGTATTCTCATCAGGTTAAACCGCCTGATGTAAGAACGAAGCCCCTCCTTCTCGCCCTGCTGAATTGTTCCTAAATCAAGGGTCGTCTTCTTCGTAGGGATGTTCATGGCAAAGTTGGAGGTGAATAAGTAAGCAAGCGTCTTGAAGTTATTTACACAACCAGTCGGCAGGTTGCCGAACCATTGTTGTGCGATTCCTTTGAGAGTCGCTGGGAAACACTTGCACCAAGTGGGATCATCCAACCCTTGCAGGTACATCAGGTTGGTGAATGCCATCAGATGGTCTTCTGGGTTAGTAGTGCCGTCATAGGCGCCTACTAATACATTTTTTACTTTGGCCGGCTGAGCGGCTTCAGTAATTTCCTTGGAGAAGGCCGACGGCTGTTCACCAAGTCTAAGCAACCGTAGCTACCAGTCCATAGGTTGGACATTTTTTGCTGCATGTCCACCAAACGGAGGTGGCTGTAAAAAATACTGTTGTTGCGGTACAAACAGTAAGTTTGGTACCGCCTGGTCGCTATGAAAGCCGGACTGACGGGAGGTGCCGCCTGACTGACTCTCATGATACGACTGAGTATGCCTCATCGAGGTATTTCGCAGACTGTCTTGGAAGTTTGAAGTAGAGGCCGACTCTAACAATCGGTCACTCTTCTTCTGCTCTAGCAGTAGCCGAGCGTCTGTGTATGTTTTCCTCGACCCGTCCGCCTGAATATGACGAACAGGTTTCCTATTTCCTGGAGTAGGAAAACGGTATTTTGTGAAATCAAGGGCAGGTGGCTCCCACTTCCTAGATTTAGGATGAGGGGTCGCCTCTCGCCCTTGAACTGGTTTCCTCTTTAGTGAAGTGGAGGGTTTCTTAGCCGACTGCTCCTTGTCCAGAGCAGGCGGCTTCTTGTTGATCAACTCTTGAATTTCTCCCTTGAAGTCCCTCATGAAGGTCATGAGTTCGTTCCTTGTGATGGGAGCAGACCCATCAGTCGGCTGCTGCCGAACAGGCGGTGCGCCTGCTGGCATTCTTCCAGTTTGAAGATGTTCTCGTTCCCTCCTTTCGGTATGACGGGTACGTCGGGCCCTTAGGGTCCCGTCTGAAGCTGTGTGAGCTTCAACTTCAAATTCATTCTCAGTATCGTGGTCCGACTGAACTTGAGGGTCGTCTAGGGGACGCCTCTCTTCAGGAGTCGGTACAGACGTGGATGCCATCTCAGAAGTACTCTCCCCACAGACGGCGCCAAGATGTTTCGGGGTTTTCTGATGTCCTGCGGGAGAGTTACAATTCCGAGACTGGAACCGGACGCCTGTACCTGCAAAACAAACGGACGCTCCGGATGATTGGAGATCCGCCTCCGACGGTCAAGTTAGTACTTGATTAAGGAGTAATTAATGCGAAAATTAAAGTGATTGAGTCTCTCTAGGTGAGAGTGTTTAATGTGTGTAATCTGCGTTTTTAGCGTGTTCTCTCTCTTAATGAGGATTAAGGGAGGTATTTATAACCTTGGGAAACGTGCCAATCCTAGGTTTAGGTTAACCTAGGGCTGATTGGGCTTCCCTCGGAAGTTGGGCCTGGGTGGACGGTTTCTCCATTAGGCATGGAGTATGCCACGTGTCATGACATAATAGGTCCAAGGTGGACGAATAAGCGTGTGCCACGTGGCAAGCCCTGACAGTTCCAACTGGGGGAGACTTGGCAGGACCTGATTGGCCCACGTGGCGCATTCCGATTGGTGGGAGCGAAATCCCCTAATCAAAAGCTGATAATTTTTTTCAAAATTTCGAAATACTTAAAAATATTGATATTGTTTCAAGTAATTTTTAGTTAGCATAAATTATAAATATTTGTGTGGTAGTATCAATTAAGTACTTGTTGGTGTTTCTTCAAACACATCTTTCATTGATCGATTTCAATTTCATAAGCTAAGGCAACCGATCGAGTTTATGTTATGAGAGGGTCCTTGACCATGCAATAATTCCTCATAGGTTAGGGTTAAAGTTTTAAACAAGGTTGAATCTAGGTGTTGTGTTGTGTATCAAGTTATTGAGTTGGTTCAACTAACATGCGTTATTATGTAATCTATGATACCATTGAGCTAAAACAATTCTATGAATCATATGCAACCAACACATTTTTTGTTGATCAATTTCATACGGTGTCTAGCTATTGTTATCTAAAGGAAATAAATTGTTGTAGCAAGCCCATCCACTTTTTTGTTATGAAATGGCCCTTAACCATGCAATAATTCCTCATAAGGTACGGTGAGGGGTAAAGTTGTAAAAAGAATTAAGCCACATGTTTACACTATTTTATTAATTATTTAATTTTGTTCGTTTTACTATTAAAATGATTTTACAAATAAGTTTGCTCCAAGTGGCAACAATTATAACCTAATCTCATTTCAACAAAAGCTTTTTTAAACTCAAATTTTAATTTCCCTCCTTTACTTGTCCATGTGTTATTATCACATGTTTTTATCTTTCTTTTTTTTTTTTTTATATATTAAGTTGATTACTAAACAATCAAACTGTACAAGAAATCAGATAATTTATAACTTTTTGTTAAAATGAAAAAGTGTATAAAGTTAGTTAATTTATCATTATTATAATAGTGCGTGCATGTGGACATATTAAAATTGTATAAGTATGAAACAAACAACCAATTATTTATTTAAATAGAAACTAGTGAAGACAATCTAAGCATTCTATAGTATTCCATAGCACACATAATTTAATTTATCAGCCAAAGCAATAATAACAATATAATACTTTGCATATGGTACAAGAACTAATATTATATATATGCTTTATATATTTAATACTAGATCGAGGTAACATATACAAAGTATGAAGTGCATAGAAACACTCAAGCGAGTAGGTACATGCCTTATATTATTTAGTAGGAACACCTTATTAAAACATAGGGAAGAAAATACACTCAAGCGGCATCATAATAAATTAGTCACACCTTGAATTATAATACAACACTTATTTAAAACCGAATCATAGGTTTATTTTTTAATGCCATGGTGATGATCATCGATATCTTTAGCAGCATTAAGCAGAGCATCCATCAAAGAAGTTGGTTCGGGGATATCAGGATGCACCTTCTCATACTCGAATATCCACTTAACTATGCAAGTTTCATTGTCTTTTGGTTCAACATGGCATGTACATATGAAGCTCTTGTATTGTCCGTCTATGAGATCACCTTCTGTTATCTTTTGCCTCACCAATCTTTTCTGCTCATCAATCTCTTCAATTTCAGTCTTCACAGTTCTACCAGATTTCCCATCTTATTCAATAAAACAAAATCAAAAGAACAAGTATTAGTAATTCATTATCCAATAATAACGAACATGCAAAACTACTAAGTGTTGGCCTAGCTAGTGATAAGGATAAGACCTTCAAATCTTAAGGTTGGGGGTTCAATCTTCACTAGGCTAAGGGTACTTAATTTGAAGGTGAGGATCTCTTTACCCTTCCCTTCCACTTTCAAGGTTTCTAGTTCATTAATCGGGCCATATTGACTTATGAGTGGTGGTGAATTGGTAGGGCAGTTTTTACCTATCAATAAAAAACCATGCATCCTTCTTTTAATTAGAAGTTGGAAGTAATAAAATCTATGAATTTCCCATTAAATGATATTTTTGTGGTATCTACGTAAAACTTTGTTGGAAGTTTCACTTTCATCCCATATGCTATTGTCAACCCAACAAGTGCACAATGCACCTACAAACATTTTCGGGGAATATTCAATTCTTATGTAAACCCTCCAATTCTCATTTCTTAAGTGCAAATGAGCAAGAAAAAAATTACTGTACACGTATTGCGTTAGTATGTACAATAGTGCCGAATTTTTGTACAACTCAGAATTTATGGAAAAATTTATACTTCGTATATTGCAACAACTAATTAGAATTGAACGGAGTTAGTACAAATACAAGTATGGCTTAGAGTCGTAGATCGAGTAATAGAGTTGAAAGTTAGTTACCTAGAGTGAAATTCCAAGAAAGTATGGAACCAGGCACACCAAAGTCCTGTCCATGATGCAAGTCACAACTCTGAACAAAATTAGAGGCAGCATGCTTGATGTGATGAGGTCTACTCTTATACATGTCATGGAATGCATCACCTGCACCTTCTCTCACCTCTACCTCACCCTCTAACTTTCGTTTTAAACTCATTCTTCTTATTTTTAGAACACCTACACAATTACACTTAACATGAATGGTTTGTTATGATCTCTACTTTCTAATTTATAGAGGAGGACCTTCCACCGGGCCATTCGGGGCCTAGCCCCCAGTAACTTATTGTAATTAATTAATTAATGAGCTTTAATTTCCTATATTTACTTACAAAACATTGGAATATAGTGATTAGTTTTGAGCGATAGGTAAAAGAATCAAATCTTGTCCCCTCTAATATTTTCGACTAAGATCTGCCACTGCTGATTTATACTAGAAATATTGGACTATAGGAGAGTTCATTTTCTTACAATTAATTAATTTTCTTATTTTTTTAAAAAAAAAATCACGTTCATTTGCTGTTTCTAGTTTAGGATGACCCCAAATTTAAATTTTGAGTTGTTTGATGAGACATGTGTCTTATTTTCTTAACACAAATTTTATTACAAGAGGACGTGTACATCCGGTCTAAAGCAAAAAGGAAAAATAAATAAATAAAGTTCTTTTCCGATCTTCATGTTGAATAAGCATAATTTTTCGGTTTAAAGCATATATTATTTCAGTTCTTGTTTTGCCGGTTCAAGTGAAAACTTCTTTAAATCGGATGTTTACCATGTTAATTTGTATTTAGATTAAAAATATTCATTATGATTAATTTTCTACTCCATCATATCTACATTGAGAAAATTTTGGAGCTAAATTAAATTAACCTTTCAAAGAAAACATTGAACCATTAGCTAGATTGCTTGCTTTTTTTTTTTTTTTTTTTTTTTTTTTTTTTTTTTTTTTTAAAGAAAATTAGATTTCTTTTGTCAACAAGCTAGTCGTGTGTGGCCACATTTGTTTATTAAAAAAATAAAAAATAATTACCTTTTATTAATATGAGTAACCTCAATTATTTATATGGATAATCATAATTTACCCGGCCTAGTAACTCCAATTTAATATACGAGTATAAGTATCCTTATTTGTTCATTCGAATAACGCCCATTTTTTTTTTTTTGACAATTATTAAAATATAAACTCCGCTTGTTTATATATCCGTCAAGGTAAATTCTATTTGATCATTTTTGTAATCTCCATTACTTTATATGTATGAAGTGGCCACACCATATGACTTAGCCATGTATAAATGTGTTCTATAATTTATTTTCACCTTTATTGTAAAAAATAATAATAAAAATATAGAAAAAATTTCAATCAAAAACCGGTTTAAATTTATTTGGTCCGTTAGACCGATTTTGTCCGCATGGTCCGGTTTTGATGTGAATCCAACATAACTGCTGGTACAGTTCGGGTTTATTGTTATCAAATTTCGTTGATATGATCTTGGATAGTTGGATCTCTGAACAACCATGATTACTATTGAAAAGATTTCTTCCTTCACAAAAAATAAAAAAAATAAAATTAAAAAAATTCTCCCACTGAAAGATAAGTTTGTGGACGTTATATAGACTTTGTGGATCAAATTCTTAAGCATTTATATACATTGTTTGCTGTATAACTTCTAAAAATCATCTAATAATCTAACACGCTGCCCGTTGTCTTAACTAAATTAATTAAAGTGGTTTTTGACTAAAATTGTGTCATTTTATTGTTATTTATGAGGTAGTTGGATACTTGGATATATCATACTTTTTTTTTTTTTTTAATGTTACCCTTATCTTTTTGTTTTTTTTTTTTGAGAAAATGTTACACTTATCTTTTTTTTTCTTCTTATAATGCAACCTTAAGTGTCACCCTTTTATTTTAGTAAATAAAAAAAAATTGTAGCCTTTGTATCAAATTCAATCTCAACTCACTAGATTGACTAATCTAAGCCGTTGAATTGGATGACTTTGTAGTTTATTAAAATAAATATTTTGACCCTGTCAAAATTATTAAATATATAAATATTTTGACAAAGAAGAATAAGAATTAAATACTAGTATAACAATCCACGTTTTATTTCAGTTTCTTCAATTCTCCGTTCTTTGCTTATAAGTTTGATTAATAAGAATTAAATACTAGTATAACAATCCACGTTTCAATGCTTCTTGCGTACAACCGGCTTACAATAATGTTATTGTAAAACCGGTCTCGCACGTGCCATACTTAATATAAAAAGCTGCGCATGCAATTTCGCTGCAAACTTCTTCTTCAACCTTCTTCTTCAAACTTCATCTCACAATTTCGCTACAATTCTCTGCAAAACAGCCATGAATTCTGTAATTCACAAATTATTACAATCTCAAAAACAAATTCAAGCTCCAATTTCAAACGTTGATTGTGCAATTGATGTTGATTGTGCAATCGATGTTGATTGTGCAATCGATGTTGACTTAAACGACGAATTTTTGCAACAAAACCTAAATTGCAAGCAATGTGGCAACAATATTGACCTAAATTGCAAAATCAATGACAATGCATTGATGCAACAAAACATCAATTCAGGTACGTAGTTTTTTATATTATGAATTTATATAAATTTACCAAAAATAGGTAAACTGGTGATTGAATAAATTGCGATCAATGCAGATTCATATGAGAGTAGAGTTATTCTCGATGAAGAACAAATCTCAGCTGATGAAGTGCAAATATCAGAGGATGAAAATTCAACTGTTGAAGGAAACATTAAGCTTTTGAACAGTTGTGGAATTGTTTAAATTGAAGTTTCTGATTAATATTGAAATGTACAAGTAAAATTGAAATTGCATACTCGTTTAATGTATAGTTTAACTTTCAGAAATAGAAGTATACCTTTAAGAAATACAAGTGTAACTTTAAGAAATAGAGGTATTACTTTAAGAAATAGAAGTATAACTTTAAGAAATAGAAGTATAACTTTAAGAAATAGAAGTGTAACTTTAAGAAATAAAAGTGTAACTTTAAGAAATAAAAGTATAACTTTAAGAAATAGAAGTGTAACTTTAAGAAATAGAAGTGTAACTTTAAGGAATAGAAGTGTAATTTTAAGAAATAAAAGTGTAACTTTAAGAAATAAAAGTATAACTTTAAGAAATAAAAGTGTAACTCACTACTACATTTAAGAACTAATACAACGGCTTTTTTGTTGTATTAGGTGTCAAAAACCGTTGTATTAGACCTAATACAACGGTTACCAACCGTCACATTTGCAAGGGTTGGATTAGGTCTAATACAACGGCAAAATAGACCTAATCCAATGGATTGAGCAATCCGTTGGATTAGGTATCTACCTAATCCAACGGTTTCTTCAATCCGTTGGATTAGGTTCAATTTTGTTTTTTTGGGAATAAATAGACCTAATCCAATGGATTGCTTGCCCAATCCGTTGGATTAGGTCCTTTTTTATTATTATTATTATTATGATTATTATAGTCCATAGTGACCAGATTGTCCAAAAGATTGTCCAGAAGTTTCCAGATTGTCCAAGCTCAGTCCAGAACATATCAATGGCATCTTAGTTTGCATATGAAAAAAGATCTAAAAAATTGAAAACCGAAAACAAAAAAATGAAAAACGAAAGAAAAATTGAAAAAATATCTGAAAATTTGACAAAAAAGTAAATCTGAAAAACGAAGATCTGAAAACGAAACAAACAATGAAAACGAGAAACGCATAAAACGAAAAAAACCCAGAAAAACGAAAAAAAACCCAAAAAAATAAAAAGAAAAATCCAGAAACGAAAACAAAATTCCAAAAACGAAAAAAAACCCAAAAAACGAAACATTGAAGACTAAAAACAAACGAAAAATTGGAAAAATATATGAAAAAATTGACAAAAAATTAAATCTGAAAATGAAGATTTGAAAACAAAACAACAAATGAAAACGAAAAACGCATAAAACCCAGATAAACGAAAAAAACCCAAAAAAATAGAAAAAAATCCTTAAAATAAAAAAAAAACCCATAAAACGAAAATTTGTAAAACGAAAACGACCGAAAAATTGAAAAAGGATCTGAAAATTTGAAAAAAAAGGTAGATCTGAAAACGAAACTAAAAACAAAAACGACGAACGCAGATCTGAAAATCAAAAAACGAAAACGAAAATACCAGATTAAAACGAAAACAGTCAAAACGAAACAAAAAACTAATGAAACCCAGAATAAAAAAAACCAGAAAAATGAAAAAAACCCAAAAAAATCAAGAATTCGAAAAAAAAAACAACAACAAAATCCAGAAACGAAAAAAAAAACCAAAAAACGTAAAAAAAGCCCAGAAAATGAAAGACAAAATCTAAAAAAAAAAAAAAACAAGATCTGAAAAACAAAAATACCTAAACGAACGGCGATAATGGTGAGAAAGTCTTTGAGGCTTGAAGAGAGGAAGAGAATGAGAGTGAAGAGAGAGAGGCAGTGAGAAGAGAGGTAGAGAATGAGGAAAGAGAGTGAAATAGAGAGGAGCTGAGAGGCGTGAGTGAGAGTGAAATAGAGAAGAGCTCAGAGAGAGGAAATTAGGGCATTAGGCCCAATATAAGGCCCTCCGAATTTTCTTTTCTTTTTTTTTTTTTTTGATCCGTTGTATTAGACTTTTTTTTTTTTTTGATCCGTTGTATTAGACTAGGTCCAATACAACGGATTCTTATATCTAATACAACGGTTATTATAAACCGTTGTATTAGACCTGTTTTAGTATAAACCGTTGTTAAACTAGTCTAATACAACGGTATGAAATTAGCCGTTGTATTAGCTATTTTTGTACCGTTGCATTAGATAAAAAATGTAGTAGTGACTTTAAGTGTTTATTGTATTACTGAATTATAGTTATACTTTTTTCATAAATCCTAAATCTACCATACTGTTTACATTGCAGTAATTGAAACCAATATTGATGTTGGAAGAACACTATTTGGGATCAAAACAAAAACCTTAGAAGAAATGCATGAGATTTACAAAAAACATGCATCAATTGTAGGATTTTCAGTAAGGAAACATACAAGTAGGACTAGGGATAAAACTGGAAAAGTTATTGTAGAGAAATACTATGTTTGTTCTGCACAAGGTAAAACAAACACTAGGGAAAGAAAAAAGAAAAAATAGAAGCAATTGTGGAGAATGCAGAAAACAAAAAGAAAAGAAAACCTAGGCAAGTTCCTATCACAAGAACAGATTGTAGAGCTTGTATAAGAGTCAAGATGAATGAGGATGGATTGTTTGAAGTAGTACAACATGTTTTGGTACATAATCATGAACTCACAAGAAAACAATGGCACTATCTTCATCGATCTGAAAGAGAGATGACAGAAGAAAAGGGACAAGTAATAGAAAACTTGCAAAAGTCAAGACTTTCAGCTATGGACTCATATCGAGCTATGTGTAATGAAGCTGGAGGTGAAGAAAACTTGGGACACACAAAGAAAGACCATCTGAATTATTGGACAAGATTGAAAATGAAAAATATTGAAGGTGGTGATGCACAAGCAGTCTCTGAAATAATGTACCAGGAACTTGCTAATGATCCTGAATTTTTCTTTAGATTTAGATTGAACAAAGCAGGCAAGTTAAGAGCACTATTTTGGAGAGACTCAATGATGAGAGAAGATTATAGTATTTATGGAGATGTTGTAGTGTTTGACACTACATATAGGACAAATAGATACAATTTGTGTGCACCTATTGTTGGAATAAATAACCACTGGAAAAATTGCATGTTTGGTTGGGCTTTTATTGGAGATGAGAAAATAGAATCATTTGTATGGCTCCTTGAGACTTTCAAAAAGTCAATGGGAGGGAAATTCCCAAGCTCAATCTTCACAGACCAAGATCAAGCAATGTGCTCTGCAATACAGAAGGTAAGTTTTAAAGTTATACACAAGTATGTTAAAGTTACCTTGTTTCTATTGTGTAGTTACCTTTTTGTTTTCTAAAAATATATCTGATTATAATTTAGGTCTTTCCAGAGGTCAGACATAGATTATGTATATGGCATTTGGAACAAAATGTTATTACAAGATTTGGATCGTTGAAACGAGACAAGGATTTTAAGAGAACATTCTCCTACTGTTTGAAACGATGTGTAACTGAAGTTGAGTTTGAAACTGAATGGAACTCAATGATTGGGAAGTATAATTTACAAGAAGATAGTTGGTTCCAAAGAATTTATGATCTAAAAGAAAAGTGGTGTCCAGCTCTAAGCAAAGACTTCTTCTCAGCTGGTATCCTCTTTTCCCAACGAAGTGAAAGTACCAATCATGCAATTGGGTTTAGAGCAAATAGATCAACAAGTAGATCAACAAGCTTGACTGAATTCTATACCATTTTCAAAGCTTGTATACAGCGTTGGATAAGCACGGAAAAACATGATGAGTTCTCGTGTAGTAAATCAACTGCATCATCAGCAATACCATTATCTGGTATGCTGAAACACGCATCAGAAATCTACACTTTGTCTTTATTCACAGATTTTGAAGAAGAATTTGGGTATTCCATTGCAACTACCACAAAATTGCTTTGGCAAAATGGTAGTACCTTGTTCTATTTAGTGGCAATTAAAAGTGAACCTTGGTCAGAACAAAAAGTCACTTTTGAATATGACAGCAACCAAGTTAAATGCACTTGCAAGAACTTTGAAGCTTCTGGATGGTTATGCTACCACTGCATCAAAATATTACACTTACATTCAGTGATGAGAATACCAGATCAGTATATAAAGAAGAGATGGACAAAGTTTGCAAAATCATCAATTTGGGAAAGACAAGACAATGAAGAACCTGAACAAAATCAATACGCACCTTGGCGTCAAACCATGGCTAAAAAATTCTATAATTTAATATTGAAAAGTCAATTGAATGAAGAGGCAAGAACCCTTATCGAGGACAGTTATGCTGCTAGCCTTTCTCTTGTTGAAGAACTACTAACAACCATCAACAACACTACTGAAGCAGAGACTAACCAAGCTACTGAAACAGAGACCAATCAAGCTACTGAAACAGAGACCAATCAAGCTACTAAAGCAGAGACCAACCAAGCTACTGAAGCAGAGGCACCTCTTATATTAGATCCTGAACGTACAACAACAAAAGGAAGGAACAAAAGGCCACGAGGACCACTGGAGAAGAAAAGGAAGGAAGACAGCAGTACCCCCACTTGAGTTTGGAGCTATAACCCCTAATTTGAGACTATTTTGATTGATCTTAGACACATTGTTCTTTAATTTTGAACTATATTCATTGATATTAGACTATTTAAGACTATTGTATTTGATACTATATTCATTGATCTTTTTTTTATTGTATAAGTAATGATGAATTTTGCTAAAAAAACTATAACTTTAAGTAGAATTACTATAACTATTATAATAGTATCCTTAACTTTAATTTGTATTATCCATAACTTTAAATAAAAATACCATAACTTTTAATAAAAATACCATAACTTTTAATAAAAATACCATAACTGTTACAATAATTTTGATTCTAACTTTAAGAAATAGAAGCTTAACTTTAAGAACTAGAAGTATAACTTTAAGAAATAGAATTATAACTTTAAGAAATAGAAGTGTACTTTAAGAAATAAAAGTATAACTTTAAGAAATAAAAGTGTAACTTTAAGAAATAAAAGTGTAACTTTAAGAAATACAAGTATAACTTTAAGGAATAAAAGTGTAACTTTAAGGAATAAAAGTATAACTTTAAGAAATAAAAGCATAACTCTAAGAAATAGAAGTGTAACTTCTTTTTACAAAAAATAAGTTTCCACAACTTTAATGCCATTAGTTACAAAAGCATGGTATCAGTGTAAGTTCTAACTACATTACAAAATATGCATTAAAAAAGCATCAGTACATACTTACAAAAGCATGAAAGTACTAAAAGTTCTAAGTTTCTAACTATATTAGCTTCCCTTAAAAAATACTACAGTTGCTAACACAATATTTACTTCCCCTTCGCAGATTTTTCTTTCTTGTTGTCATCTTTCTTTTTTACTTCTTTACTCAATTTTTTTGCTCCATTTTCCTTTTTCCTTTTTTCTTGCATCATCAACTTTCTCCTTTTCGTAATTTCAGGTGCTAGCTCCAATCGACGCGGATTAAAATTGCATAAAGAATCCAACACTGATTGTCTGCCATCATTCATATCAGACAATACCAGTGTTGCACATATCTCTGCTTGAAGTACAACTCTAGAACTGGGCTGTATTTAACAACTATATATATTAGTATCATGTAATCATAGTAAAAAAAAAAACAAATTAACTTAAAAAAGTTGCAACTAACCCGCATCAACGCATCACAACTAAAAGAAGCACCTTCAAACAGCAACATACACATCATAGAATATATTCCACAATCTTGATCGTGTCCTTTATTATTCTTCCAATTAAACATCACCTCCTCCATTTCATAATTTCCAACTTCAACAAATTCAGGATGACCAAGACTATTGAATAATGTGCTAAAACAATCACTCTACAAAAAGAAGAACAAAGTACAATTATTAAACATATAATAAACAAATGTAACTTTAACCAAAATAAGTGTAACTTTTACAAAAACAAGTATAACTTTAACAAAATTTAAACAATTACCACTATTTCAGACAAATGCTTAATTGTTTCCAAGGTAGCTTCTTCATAAACCAAATTGTCCAATAATTGCATTGTTTTTTTTCTTCAAATTCAACGTAAAAACCCAGAAGTGGTGAAACGCAAAAATAGGAACAAACACCTATCATTTGTAATTTAAAAATACAGAGCATTAGAAAGAAAAAAAAATGATGACACATGTGAATTAAAATTCACAACAGTACAATAATTATTACCAAATCAACAACACTGATATCAAAATTGTTGTTTGTGACTTGAATCCATTCCTTCCAACAATGTTGAAGTTGATCAATAACTTCAATATCATTTTCATCATCCCAAAGCTTTACCAAATTAGCCTATATAACAACAAGACAAAAAGAAATCCATAAGAATTAACTAACTATACACACATCAATTAAAAGAAAATACATATAGCTACACATAAAACTTACACTGCTTTCAACACCAAAACAGAATTTTTTAGGACCTCCATCACGCATTCTTTCATTCTCATTCAACATCATTGCCCAACACTCAATAACTGATTGGTAAATCTCCAAATTAGCAGCTAAAGACACCATGTCTTCTCTTGGAACAGTATGAGTAAGATCATACCACACCAAACACTCACTAAAAAACGAAAAACCAGCTAAAAATTACAAAAAACAAAAAAAAACTATAACTTTAAAATATAAAAACATAACTTTAAGCACAAATAATATAACTTTAACTAAAATATAAATGACTTACTGATTCACCATTCCAGTATTATCTAAGAAGCAATAATCAGCAATCTCCTGATACAACTTTGGTAATTTTTTCAAATATTTTTGATAGTTTTTCATCACATGTCCAACAAAAACAACATCAACATCACATGGCCCACAACCTACAGATATTTTTGCCTTCCCATTACCCAAAGCATTCATAATAATAGATGAAAAAGAACTTTCACCATACTCCAGGTTAATCTTTTCCAACACATTCAGAACAATATTATCAACAAAATCACCCCCAGAAACATTTTCCTCCCTTCCAACATTCTCCTCAACCCCCAAATTCACATCTGCAGTAATATCTGAAATACCGCCAGGCAATTTTTTCACTGATAGCACAATATCAACAATTTCATCAATGATCTCAAACATTCTTGGATCAAAATCCTGACTTTGCAAGACAGGAGATGAACTACTAGAAGCACGAGCCACATCATGCTTCTTTAAAATCTCAACCTTCTTCAAATGGTAGTTTGTAACAACTTCCATGTTCCTCTTCATCAACAAAAATTGCTCATGAATAGCCTGAAAATAACAAGTGAATAATTAGAAAGACAACTTTAGGTATAATAAGTATAACTTTAAGAAATAAAAGTATAACTTTAAGAAATAAAAGTATAACTTTAAGAAATAAAAGTATAATTTAAGAAATAAAAGTATAACTTTAAGAAATAAAAGGGTAACTTTAAGAAATAGAAGTATAATTTTAAGAAATAAAAGTATAACTTTAAATAGAAGTATAACTTTAAGAAATAAAAGTATAACTTTAAGAAATAAAAGTGTAACTTTAAGAAATAGAAGTATAACTTTAAGAAATAAAAGTATAACTTTAAGAAATAAAAGTAAAACTTTAGCATTAATAAGTGCAACTTTTTAACTTACATCAGTAGCAACAGACTGTATTTCTTCATCAGATGTCATAGTAACAGGAACATCAAACTTAATGATCCTTTTTCCAAGTGATGCATCATCAGCATTGTCAACTTGAGAAACTTCAGTTTTCTTAGCTTCAGGTGCATTTCGAAGAGGCATCTCATCTCCAAACACAAAATTCTCAGAAATAGGGTATGTAGTAGTATCCAAAATACCACAACCAAAGGACTTAGCCTCAACCTCTTTTTTCACCCTATCACTGATTTTCTTATCAGTCCAGTGTTTGATAAGAGGCAAACTACAATCTTGTGCCTCATTTCGGAACTTCAAACGCTGAAAATAAACAACCTCCAAGAACAAAAGACAACCACCAACACTGTCTCGACTCTTAGTTTTCTTATACTTCAAAATCTCCCTACACAACCTTTCATGAACATATTTACACCAATTGAACTTCTTAATTTCATCAACATTTTCAAGGGCTTTAACAATACTCAAATCAGCAGTTCTATTTGCAACAACTAAAAATGAAGCAAAAGCAACCATCACAAACAGTTTCTTAAACAACTCTCCACCATCCTTTAACTGAACAATCCTAGCCTCTAATTTATGCAAAGGTATGCCTGCATTACCAGAAACATCAAACATACTCCTCCATTCTTGTTTTAATTGAACATCAGTACCTCTAGTACTCTCTACAACATCCATCCCTTTAAAAGGTAACTGAAATACATCATAAACATCATAGGGAGAAATAAGAAATTCCTTCCCTGGACTTATAGAAAACATCCAACTAATAGGATCAAAATGATCAACCAACCGAGGAAGTAAAGTTGTAACAGTTCTAGTCAACTTTAAATCCAACAAACCACTAAATCCTATATCAACAACTGATTTAACTTGCTCATCAGAAAGATTTTTCATGAGATCTACTAATGTATGTGGTCTGCAATGGGTACTGAAAAACCTATCCAATCTGAATAAAAAAAAAGAAGAAAAGATAAATAAAATGAACAATTATAACTTTTATTATAATTTTCAGAAGTGTAACTTTAAGGGCATTATCCATAACTTTTAGAGCATAATCCATAACTTTAGAAATAAAAACAATAACTTCAGAAAAGGGTACTTACATTTCAACATCAGAATCAGAATCATCTCTCCCTGATGCACTTTCAACAGTTTCATCTTCTTCAGCATCAGAATCCGGTCTGTTTTTTTTTTTTTTCCAATTTTGACAGCCTTGTGAACCACTTTCCGCTTCTTCTCAGCCAGACGACGATATTCTGTTTTTGGTTTTTTCTCAACATGAGCATCATTGGATGCCTTAGCTAGCTTTTTCTCAGGACGCCGATCATCCTTTGCTAGCTTCTTTGCTTTCACACCCAATTTTCTTTTTTTCTTATTTCTATCAACAGATTCAGCCTCACTTCCCTCCTCATCATCACCCTCATCCTCTTTTGAACCCTCCTCATCATCATGTTTTTTTGAACCCTCCTCATCCTCATCATCATCTCGATCCTCTTTTGAAGAATCCTCATTATCACCTCCAACATCTTCTGAACCCTTTTCATCATGTTCAGAAGAATTATCCTCGTCACCTCCATCATGCTCCTCTACTACAGGATCCTTTACTACAAGCTCCTATACACTACCTCCCTTCTTTCCACCCTTATCCACAACAACAATAACTTCTTTGCTTACATCATTAGCACCTAAAGAAATTAATAGTATTAAAATGCAAATCATAACTTTAACTAAAAAAATTATAACTACAACTATAATTAACATAACTTTTATAAAACAATCAGATATATGAGAAAACATAAAGCTTAACTTAAGCAAACATTTATATAACTATAACAAGCTGACGATGCTGAAGTTTAAGATTAACATAACTTTAGCTCAAAATAGTATAACTATAACTATAATAAACATAACTTTATAAATCAATCTGACATATAATAAAACATAAAGCATAACTTAACCAAACATTTATATAACTATAACAACTAATTCTGTAACTTTAAGAAAACCTTGAGCAGCATCAGATCCACCAACAGAACTTCGCAAACCACGTCTCCTTTGAAAAGTCGAAAAACCACCTCTAGTCCTCACCATCGCAAATTCAAGAAATTAAACCCTAAAATTCAAAATAAGAACGATTAAATAATAAAATACTGACATAAACAACAAATTGAATGAAAATGCAAGAAAAAACTAAACACAAAATAACTAAAACCTAGAACATTCAATCTAATATGAACACAATTAACCAAAAAAACCATAAAATATGAACAAAATTACGATCAAAAACAAAAAACCCAAAAATCAAACTAATATACTTACGAAAACAACAAATTACAACAAAAACATAGAATTCTACTTTAAAATTCAAATAAAGTAGAGAATTACAAGTTATTAACACAAATGTAAAATGAAAAACCATAACAAATCAACAATTACAACAACTAATGAATAAAACATAAATTATACGATTAAAACCATAAGTAATTTAAAAACTAACCTCAAAATCCGATGAGAATCCAAAATGTAATTCGTCAACTAAAGAAAATGAACAAACAAATAACAGGGAAGATGAAGAGAAATTGCAGAGAAAGATAGCAGAGGAGAGGAGAATGAAGTTGCAGAGCATTAAAGAAGAAAACTGAACAGGCACTAAAATGAAAAAAAAAAAAAGTCGTTGGACTGGTACGTGTGAGCCCAGTCCAGATGATAGAAGTGGGCCGGTTTTACACTAAGTTAGTGTAAGCCGGCCTTTTTTTAGAATTTGTGTCCACGTTTTATTTCAATTTCTTCAATTCTCCGTTCTTTGCTTATAAGTTTGATTTTTATTTTTATCTTTCTAGGAAATCCTCATCAATTACCAACAAAATTAGATTAAAAAAGTCACATATTTTCATAATCTACTAAATAAAAACGAAAGATAGGATATTTTTTGATTTTTTATTATTGTCAAATTAATATTTTTTTTAACTATAAAGTCACCCTGTTCAATGGTCTAGATCAATAATCAAATGTAACGAACAGATGCAATTTGATTTATATTATAACTAGTACGTGTCCTGGGCGTTGCCCTGAATATCCATTTTAAAGAGTGTACTTATTTGTGGACATGTTTTATATAATAATAATAATAATAATAATAATAATAATAATAATAATAATAATAATAAGAGGGTACATGTTTTGTAGTCTATTATTATTATTATTAGTATTTATAAAAAGAGGGTAGAAACTCTACCTATTATTCAAAATTCTATGTCGATATATGTGCTCAATTTCAATGGGACACTAAAATAATAGAGGGATCTTAGTATAATTTTGTGGAAAGAAGAGTGCGTCGGTAAAAAAAAAAAAAAAATAAATAAAAAGTTAAATGTAATTATTTTTAAAGCGTAAAAATCAACAGATTATATTATTGGCCTAATTGGACCATTCGTAGTAACCCGTAAAGTTCTAAGACGTTGCTGACATTGATCTGAATTCACTTCCAAATTCCCTTGTATGGTATAGTTTCTATTGTGTCCAAATTTTAGTAGTTTATAACTTGTTTAATTTCATTAACAAAATTACAAAAAAATATTACAACCGAATATGAAGAATACCTGATTCAAAAGTTTTAATGGTAAATCAGTGGTACATTAAAAAAATTAATGATACATGGTCATATTTATAATTGTAATTATGGGGTTATTAGTTTAGGAGTAAAATTCTATTGCTAATTGGATATTTATATTAATTATAATATATGGTGTGTTGCTATAAGTAAAATTCTATTGTCAATATAAAGACAAATTTTCTTAAAAGAATTATTATTAATTATATGTATATTTTTTTTTATCCTAAATAAATGTATCCAATCTAATCTAATGTGGCATTTGCTCTAATCACAATAGTATCTATTTGTCGTCGATGTGGCTTATTTGTCGTCTATGTGGCTCGACACTTGGCGAAAAACTAAAATGCAAAGTGTCATTGTCTCGTGATGTGGCTGCGAGACCGACTTTATTTATTAGTGAAGTGATATGATATGATGGCTACAATTTGTAGCCACTCAAAAGTCTACTTATACAAAAAGAAAAAAAAAATATGCGGCTAGGGTGAAAGAAGATTACAGTAAATAATCATCATCTTTTCTAAGATATAATCACAAGCTATTTTAAAAGATAATATCTATTAGATAACACCAATAGTGATATTTTTAATTATCTTTTAAATTTCTTTGGTATCCCATTATATATTATACTCCTTCCGTTTTTGAAAAATCGACACATCTTTGACCGTGAATAACTCCGGTTGTGTATAAGTGAAATTTGTAAAAAGTTGATATTTGGATTATGTATATATAATAAGGGGAATCTAATATGATCTCACCCTAATTTATTTATATTGTATAGCTCATAAAATGTTGTCAAAGTTATTTTATTTTGACCACATGAATAATAAGTGAGTTAAACTTTCAAAAACGGAGGTAGTATATACTTCATAGACGTTAAATCTCCATCAGATTATTAAAAACTAATCAATGGCAGTGGCGGAGGAAGTGGTAGCGGCCTCGAGTCAAAACGATGCACCAACTCCCATTGTAGACCTTCCTACGGAAATACTCTCGCAAATACTAGTACGGCTTCCCAACATCAAGTGCTTATTACGTGCAAAACTCGTGTGCAAGTCATGGTTTACCCTCATATCATCTTCGGAATTCACCCATCTTTATAATCTCCGCCATAACAATTCTCTCCTTGTATATCCCAAATTTGATCTTAATTGCAATCTCTATCTTTGCGCAGTCGAAGTCAATGACAACGACTTTTCGAAGGAGGAGAAAATTCAACTTCCTCCATACCTATATGATGAGTTGGGATTCCGTATGATTGTTGCTTCATGCAATGACTTGTTACTTTGCATCTTTGGTAGTACTAGTGACTCTACTTTGATCTTGCTAAATCCATTAACTCGTCTTTACCGCGTTATTCCTCGCCTCTATTATGATGACAATAATTTCGTTATTCATGGAGTCGGATATGATCATATAAAAGATGACTACATAGTTTTTATTCTTAGTAGTGATCGTCGGACGACGGCCAATGCTGACGTTTTCTTATACAGCCTAAGAGATGAGTCCTGGCAACGTAAATGTTACTTAAATAATCAAGAAATAACTACTTTATCCGGTTACTTTTGTCCAAATTTTTGGATGATATCAAGAAATCTTAAACCTACTGTTGTTGCCAATTGTTTGTTGCATTTTGTCTATGAATGCAAAAAAGTTGTGAGTTTTAATGTTTGCAACGGAAATTGGAGTGAAATTCCGGCACCCGGTGTAGAAAGTAACATAAAAGATATAGGGGTTTTAGATGGTTATTTGAGCGTCCTAGCGGGAAAAGGTTCACGAGACGGTGTTTCGAGCCCAGGGTTCAAGTTATGGGTGATGAAAGAGTACGGTGTTAAGGAATCATGGGTTTTGCTATTAAGTGTCTCGGACTTGTGTCCAATTAGGTCTTCGTTAACCAGTATCCCTTTGGCTATTTCGAGTGACAAGAACGAAATTCTACTGCATTTCAAGCACGATCACTGGAAATTTAGTTATGTATGGTATAATTTGAAAGAGAAAAAGACTAGAAAAACTCAAATTGGTCCATGGGAAGAATACGTGTCAATCAAGAGTACATTTCCTGTTACGGATATTACAAACAAGTTTAATAAGAAAAAACAAGGTGCGTAAATCTCTATATAATGATAATTGTTAATTAATTAAGCTAGCTATATATTTGATAAATCATATTTGAACGTTATTGTTGTAAACTACTTCGTAGTAGGTGTCACCTTGTTGGGGACATCAATTTGCATGCGACCTTAAATGTTACCTTATATATGGCTATGGCTCTTAACATTAGACCAATTCGATCATGTTTGGTTTTTGGGTAAAAGATATAACGATTTATTCTATACATTTTATATACTACCCATATACCTATATGCCTATATATATATATATATATATATATATATATATATATATATATATATATATATATATATATATATATATAAATAGGATCATATGAGACCACCCCCCTTATGTGAGAAACCTATTATATGTGAGGACATATTACAACCGTTGGATTAATTGCATCCAATGGCTACAATTTATCCCAATCAAATGTAATTTCAAATACAATTTTCCAGCATTTTCTCTTTCCTCCTTCATTTGAGGCGCCATTTTTCTCTCTCCTCCTTCAATTTCTCTGCTCCCTTCTTACTGCTATCTTCCTTTGCTTTGATTCTTCATCAATTCTGCTTCTAATTTCATTGATTATTTGTCAAGGTAATTTTCGTTGATTTTAATTTGATTTTCGTTGATTTTAGTTTGATTTTCGTTGATAAAAGTTTGATTTTCGTTGATTTTATTTTGATTACTTAAGGTTTTTGTCAATTTTTTTGCGATTTTTGGCGATTTTCGTGTGATTTTTGGGGATTTTCGAGCTTATTAGTTGATTTTAGTTTTAATTTTGCTTCATTTGTTTATTTAGGGTTCTTATAGTGTAATTCGAACTTTTATTTATAATTTCTGAGGTTATGAATGGTTATAGAGATTGATTTTATCAATTTTGGTACTTGCATTTCACTAATTTGTGCTTAAATTTTGATGCACACTAAGTGTTTGACAATATTCCCCAATGAATCCTATTATTTTATCAATTTCAAATGTAGTACATATTTAATTGATGATCTTCTTATTTCATATTCCCCAAGATTGTATTGAGTCTCGGCTTAGATCCTATGACCAATAACGTTGTACAAGAATTGAAAACCGAACGATGCATCAAACTCTACAATTGTTACCTATGAACGAAAAAGGTAAGTATCAATTAACTGATTTTTTTTAATAGGGATTTTGTTTTTTTTTTTTTTTGCTCATTTGTAGTTATTTTGACGATTAAATCAGTGTTCATCAATTGTGTTTATTTTCTTATTTAGCTTTGCGTATGTATTTGATTTATAATTTGAGGCATAACTGAGTGTGAAAGGAAATATGCTACTTGGAGAATTGATAACGCTTTAGGGGAAAGGAAACTGTATGGATGTTTCTGAGGTTGAATTCGATGATTGATTTTAGAGATTGTTTGCTGATATGCTTCTGTCAAATCTTGCTTTTTTTTTTTTTTTTTTTTTGTGGTTTGATACTCCATGTTTTGGACATGAAACAAGAGGGGTATTGGTATTTGTGAAATTAATTAAGTTCTTAAAATGAAGTAGGTACTCAAGTGGTCTTGTGTTGCAATTTTTAAGTGGCTAAGGAAAATTTTCAATGGATTGTATCCATCTATATTTAACTAATCTTTGTCTCAATTGAATATAATGACTGTTTTATCCTTTTTCAGATATATCTAAAGTGGGATAGTAATTCCTAGAGTAATCTTATTTTGACCAAGCCAAATTCAGATGTTGTTAAACTTCTATGCTCTAAGCTAGTTAGGTAAATTATGCAAACTTAGCTGCTCTAAATGAATCCAATGCATATATTTTACTTGAATCCTTCAATCAAGTTGTTTGCTCCATCAATCTGAAAAACTACCGTAGATTTAAGCATCTGATACCAAACTTAGCATACTCGTAACCGGTTTTTTTTATTCTTGAAGGGTGGAATTACCAAAATATTGAATGTTCAGCTTGGATTTGGACCTTATTTCATTCGCTATATCTTGGTAGGATAGAGTTACCAGGACTTGAAATATTAGTTTATAATAATGTTTTTCTGCTGGAGAAATTTTGTATTGCTCATAATAATCTCTTTTCAGATTTATCACTATGAAGGATTGAAATATTATTGGTTTTGCATGCTTTTGATTTGGGCTGTTTTGATTTATAATCTAAAGTAAATAAGTTTTGCAATTACAAAAATATCTGAGACAGGGTTCAGTTTTTGTAATGAGTTTTGTGGGAGTTTGTTAGCTTTTGTTAATTATTATCTGCATGTCTGCTGAAGATTTCTGAGTTTATGTCAAAATTAAATAGATTTCCCATCTACCAGGACCTATGCCTTTTTTGTCTCCTTTTCTTCTTTATTTATAACAGACTTTACAGCTTATCTTTTTGGACTTAGAATAGGAAGTGGTACTCTCAATGTGATTGAAGTGCCTAAAATCTGAGTATTATATGAAGAAAGGATGTCACCTACTTATATTTTCAGATTTTGTACGGGGTTTAGAACTTGTGACAGGCTACTACAACTTCAAAATTTATCATTTCTGCTGTGATATTGTTTCTGATGACGCAATAGAAGCAATTGCAGGCTTGTCAAAATATTACAGAAATCACAGTCTTGTGCAAGATATTGCAGAATTTAGAGTCTTCCATTCCTACATTTTCATGCCTAGACTAGAAATTAGGGGCTGGACATCAATACCTTAGCATATATTTTCTTTTTTGCATGGGTGGATAGATTCGTGCCTTAGCATGGCCTACCATACTTGTTGCTCAGAGTGCCAGGTAAAACACACTGCATATTATTTACCTTATATAATCAATATAATCAGTTGCTTTTAGCACCTGGCCTACAAAAACATGCAATTGTCATTTGTTGTATTAAGCTAAACCTGCCTACTTATATATTTTGCTATGTCTATGGGTTCACATGTAGTGGCTGCTCATTAGGTAAGCTAAACCTGCCTAAGGTTCAAGGATTTCCAATTTAGTTATGTGATGATTGATGGTTTGAATAGAAATGCTTGTTGATTTAATGAATGATTAAAGAATTGTTTGCTCATTTGACAAATGAGCAACTAACTATTTGCTCATTTAACAAATGAGCAACTAAGTTTTTGCTCATTTGTTAAATTAGCAACTAAGTATTTGCTCATTTGACAAATGAGTAACTAACTATTTGCTCATTTGCTAAATGAGCAAAAAATTGATTGTCCATTTTCCAAATTAAATGATCAAATAAATGTTTGCTTATTTTACAAACTAGTAACTAATTATTTGCTTATTTGACAAATGAGCAAACAAATGGTTGCTCATTTCACAAGTGGGCAAAGAAATGCTTGTTGATTAAAGAAATGTTTGCTCATTTGACAAATGAGCAACTAACTATTTGCTCATTTGACAAATGAGCAACTAAGTTTTTGCTCATTTGTTAAATTAGCAATTAAGTATTTGCTCATTTGAAAAATGAGCAACTAACTATTTGCTCATTTGCTAAATGAGCAAAAAAATTGATTGCTCATTTCCCGAATTAAATTATCAAAGAAATGTTTGCTTATTTTACAAATGAGTAATTAATTATTTATTATTTGACAAATGAGCAAATTAATGGTTGCTCATTTTACAAAAAATTACAGGTTATAGATTTGCAAAACAATTCTTTGCTCATTTGTCAAATGAGCAATTAATTTTTGCTCATTTGTCAAATGAGCAAAAAAATTCAATGCTCCTTTGTCAAATGAGCAAACTATTTAATGCTTATTTGTCAAATGAGAAAATGGTTCTTGCTCATTTTGTCAAATTAATGCTCATTTGTGAGTGTGTTTGAATGTTTTAAATATATTAGCCTACTAGCTCAAGGGTAGAGCATTGTGTAAATGCACAAAAGATGTGGGTTCGAATCCCACGTAGGTTCATTTATGTAATGTGGAGACACAAGTTTGTACGAGAGATTAATTGTAACAAAATTTATATAGTTATAAATCATTTCAAACTATTTTTCTGCTCATATAATTTAGTACGAACTTGATTTTTTTTTAATTAATTTTGTTTATAGAGATAACCTATGTAGGAATTGCACCTACATCCGCTATACATTTGCATAGTGCTCTACCATTTGAGCTAATAGGTTTATCATATGTTTTAAATCATTTTCTATGTTAAAAATTTTAAATCAGCTCATTTGATAAATGAACAAAGAATTATTTACTCATTTGATAAAATGAACAAAGAATTGTTTGCTCATTTGACAAATGAGCAACTATCCATATGATATCCATAAGACTATGATGCCAAATTAGCATAGGCCATATACATACTCCAACTAGACATTAACTGAATGAGAGCCAAGAAAATTAAAACCAACTAGGTGTTTGTTCTTGTAGTTGTAACTGGTGTTTGCCCCTTAGCTGAAATTTTGGCAGCCATAACGCGCAACTCGTTGGCGATTTCTGTGAAGTTCGGCCTCTGTAGTGGGTCTGCAGCACAGCATTTCTCCACTCTGGGTCACAATTCACAGGAATAGGTGGTCACAAAGTGTTGCTCACAATTCCTCCTATTTACATGTTGCAAAACAAAATGGAGTCAATATACCTACATTATCCTCAAAACCCAAAACCCATTCTAGACATAACATTTCACAACGGAAAAGAATCTATGGCTTAGGAAAATTTTATTTTCTCTAGCAAACTTTAAAATTGCAAACCGGGCACCCAACCAAATGAGGCTTGGACGTCATTAGTTTCTACGATCATCTACCGAAACCAAATAAGTATTACAGTAATAGCAATTTTGGTACCATACCAAACTTCAGTTAATACTATTTTTTGCAATGTTTCTCAATTGTAAGTGCTTAGCTGCTTAAGGTTGAAGTTATTGTCATTCTAACAGAAAGAGTTACTCTTTGCACATCCACCAAGCACCCCCAAAAAAAAATCATTGTGACATAGCTCAGAGAAAAGATTTTAAGGAATTACAACTAATAGCCCCATAGTGCAAGTCAGCATATGACTCTTCTCCAGTGAGAAGCTCCCACAAAACAATACCAAAAGAGAACACGTCAGCCTAGCAATATGATAGATTAAAAAAGTCAGCACTAGTTTGTTGCTGTCAGAAATTATGTTATAGAAACCATAACCTTGGATCTAGAAAAATGACAACCTTCTCAGAGACGAGACTAGACTGTTGCTGCCACTCAGAAGCTCAGGTTCCATCCAAGAAAGGGTACCTCGCACTCCCCCTGATATTAATGTTTGACATTTCACTTTGGATAGACCTAATCCCAACCTGCAACCAAAGAAGGAGTCAAATATCACTTCATAGTACTAAATCATAATCTCATCCAAGTTCAGCATAAAGCATTCGGTACATCAAATTTTCCCATCCTATAAAATTTTTCATCCTTCCCACTCCCCCACCTCCTCTCCTTCTCTATCATCCCAGTAGATAAAAAATAATGATGCACCAATGAGGCAATGTCATGGTGCAGCCATAGCCCTCGAGTATTATGACCCAAGAGGTCATGTATTGATTTTTAGCTTTTTCCTGGGAGAATGATCAAAGTTAAAATACACCGTTCCTCGAAGTAGCTTTAGTTTTTACCTATAGAAATTGTTGGCAGAGTAAAGTCAATATGATTGAGTGTTCAGTGGCACCATCAACTCAACCACAACAATTGCACCAAGTCTTGATCCCGCTCCCCCCCCCCACCACCACCACCACCAACCCAACCACAAAGACTAGAAGGTTATATTTCACATTGTTGACACGATAATGGGTCAAGACATTTGAAGTCTAAATGTTAACCATACCCAAAAAAAAATTGCTCTCACGAACTCTGTGGCTGTAATGTACAGGGTGATGGAGAGAATTTTATCATTATGGCCATAATATATAAAGGAGAAGGAAAGAAGGGTGGGGTGGGTGTTGGGGGGGGGGGTGTTCGTACAACTTTCGGTACTCCGCAAGGTGACAACTTCCAGTCATGGATAGTGCACTAAACTGTGAGGCTATGGCAGATCACAAAGGCACTAACTAAGTAACTTTAAAATTAGAAACAACAATGTTGAACGATGTAGCTTGTGTGAGTGATACTAATTAAAAATAGCCTTTTCCCAATGGTTTTACAAGAAACTGCAGGCTTGCAATGTCATTAGGATGATAGAAGATTTTGTCTACGATCACGAAAAAATTCCACATCACAGACAAGGAGAGTACTGAGATAAAAGACTAAAATCACAAATGTGAGGCAGAATTCACATATCTTTTTAAACTGAGTTTTCTATTAATTTCTTTAATGAATGATTAAAGAAATGTTTGTTCATTTGACCAATGAGCAACTAAGTTTTTGCTCATTTGTTAAATTAGCAATTAAGTATTTGCTCATTTAACAAATGAGCAACTAATTATTTGCTCATTTGACAAATAAGCAACCAACTATTTGCTCATTTGCTAAATGAATAAAAAAAATTGATTGCTCATTTCCCAAATGATCAAAGAAATGTTTGCTTATTTTACAAATAAGTAACTAATTATTTGCTTATTTGATGCCGCACAGAGAAAATAAATATCAAGGTCTCAGTCATCTGACACACACACACTAGATGCAACAGATTGAAGAAGAAAACTATGAAGTATTTAACAAACGTAAAAGTTTATGTTTGAGACTATATATTTTCAAACACCGAATATTTGTTTAACAGTAATGCAGTCCCCATAAAATAACATTGTAGCAGTTGTAATCTCAACCATCAGATCAGACAGTTATTAGAGTAGCAAACAGATAAATCAGCATCAATATCAGAAAGCACAAGGTAGATGTTAAGTAAATTGGAAGGTGAGGCTGCTCTAAATGCAATTACTTGTTAAAAGGAGACAAACAACCTATATATGATATATTACTTGTCAAAATATCACAGTACAATGCAGCAACATCAAGCATAAAGCATATATATAGAACCAAATTTACATCGAATGATCAATTTTATTTACTCACTTTTCTACTCACAAAAAGCACTGGAATAAGTAAAGTATTTGTCATAACATCCTACTTCGGACATAAAGGCCTCACTAAATTCTTACCTATCTTCGACATTTCCCCCATCAGATGCCAACCAACAACATATCCTCGATCATACAATGGCGAGCAATCATTTTTCACAAGCCTTCTTTTCACAGACCCAGAAGAAGAACCATATTTATTCCTAAATTCATTTTCATCCATTTTGACCAATTTGCTCATTTTATTTTTGTTCGCTCATTTTATTTTCACTATATTACTTTTCATATTTAGTTTGCTCATTTTAATTATGTTTGCTCATTTCACATATCTTCTATTGAATTTATCAAATAATTACAAAATAAAGGGTGAAAGGATTCATAACAAAGGGCAGTTCATCATTTTTCGCATCAAAAGTATCGGAAGTATTACCTACGAACTCATTCAAAACAAACTAATTGAAATAGAGTACCAAGTCACAAGATTTCTAACAAGCATTTTATCAAACACCTTGTATGCACTATCAGGATATTCATAAGTATCATAAAAATGCACCAATAAACCATTTTAAACCAAGTTTTAATTGCAACACAATTACAAAATTCATAACAAAAATTAATCAACTAAGTAAAAGGATTCTGTCAACACAAACAAGATAATGATAAACAACGACACCACGTAAATTCGAAAATACTGACAAAAATTTAAGAAAATTATGTTCGAAAAAAATTAACATAGCTTTTGTTAATTATTTACCTGTATAATCTATGAAGCTTGTTGATTCTTGTTGCTGCTGAATTCTGACAAAAATCAAACGAAATTGTGTTCGAAATCCTTGAATCTCATTGAAATTGAAGCTCGTAGTTTCTTCACTCTGTTTTTCTGAGTAGCAGGAAGTATATGGATGAAAAGTTTGGATTTATTAGAGCCGTTGATATTGTTTGATCCTAAGGCTTAGATTTGTTCTCATATATTAGGAGTGTTCTCACATAAAGGGTGGTTCTCACCGGATCCCGACCCTATATATATATATATATATAAAGTCCTTAGAATTTGGAAACAACTAGGAAAGCTACCTAAATATATCGATCTAATTAACATAGATATATCCTATCGAATAATAATATCAAGATATATCAAATATATTTCCAAAATATATCTTAATAGTAAGATGATGATAAAAGAAAAACAAAGGAATAAAAAATAAAAAAATAATAAAAAAAAATAGTATGCCCTCCTCACGAGGGGTACTCCTCACCGGTTTGAACTATTTAAACATATTATTTTGTATTAACAAGGCATGGGATGGCCAAAGTGTAAGGTGTCAAAAATTATTATCTCATTACCCTAAATGGTTTTTTCTCTGTTATGCAGATCTAGAGGAGATGGTAATGAAGATGAAGAGGATCATAAGATTGTTATGTCATGAGTATTCGTCACTCTATATCTAGCTTTTAAACGCTGATAATCTTTTTTTCAGAATTTAAATATACAAAATATATATTGTTGATAATGTTTCATATAGATATTACCAGTAGTTTTCAGCTAGCATAGATTATAAATATATGTGTGGTATTATCAAGTACTTCTAGTACTCCGTAGTTGTTTCAAATTAACCGAGTATCAAGTTATTGTTTCAACTAACATATGCAGTTAATTATGTAATCTAGTAGATGATGACACCATTAAGTAAACAGATTTCTATGAACCATATGCAACCAAAACATTTTATTTCATTGATCAATTTCATACGGTGTCTATTGTTAGCTAAAGGCAATAATGAATTGTTGTATCAAGCCGAAAAATTATTATTTTTTATTTATTTATTTATTGTTAGGTGCAAGTGTGAGAAGTGGTTCTCCCACATTGAAAAAGAAAATGAAGGGCTTTCAGTTTATAATTAACCCAAGCGGGCTACTCCTCTTATTGCCAATTGGTTTTAGGATGGAACTTCACTGTAGGCTCTGGTTTGTGGGCTTCTGGGCTTCTCTTCCCTGTGTTCTCCCCCATCCGTTATAACAAACTGGTATCCGAGCTAGATTTGATCTGGTCACACCATCTGATAGGGACACCGTTTGTGCTAGGTCTTATGGCGTTAAGGACCATCTGTGACTGCCGCCTTGCCATAGAGCTGGGCTCTGTAGGTTCTGGGTGCGGATCTATTGAAGGGAGAGTGTATAGGCTCACACTTGAGGGGGAGATTGTTAGGTGCAAGTGTGAGAAGTGTTTGTCCCATATTGAAAAAGAAAATAAAGGTATTATCTAACCCTGAAATATTATACCAAAAATACACTGAGAATTGAAGTCAGGTCAATGTCATTCACGGATTCACCTTGCGAAAAAATAAATCAATAAGATTAAACAAAAATACTTATATATAATCTTTCCATAGCAAACATACGGATTTACATTATACAACAACCTTCCATGCATATATTGATATGTAGCACACATAATTCGTCAGCCATACCATAATACACTTCGTACAATAAACTGGGATACTCAACTAATGAACGGATACATGCCTGTTTATTTAGTACTATTTAATGCATGCAGTAATAAACACCTTTAAACAACATGTGACCATATAACGTATATTTTAATGAAGTCGTTGCACTATGAATAATTGTTTACTTATTAGTATGGTGATGATCATCCATGTCTTTGGCTGCGCTAAGGAGCGCGTCTAGCATAGAAGATGGTTCGGGGATACCAGGATGCACCTTCTCATATTCGAGTATCCACTTCAATGTACAACTTACTTGGTCTTTGGGTGTAACATGACATATAAAATTCAAGCTCTTGTATTCATCAAAGAGATCACCTTCTATCAGCTTGTACCTTACCAACTTCTTCTCTTCATCGATTTCTTCGATTTCAGTTTTGCCAGTTCTTTGCTTCCCATCTTAATCATAATATATACAAGTGAAAAAAAGTTAATAGGGCATACTAGCTAGATGGACTATATATCATTATTGTTTATACAAAAAGGCAACAAGTATAAACAGGGATAATAAAACGACATAATAAATTTAATTTTTTAAGTTTGAAGTTTAGAGTACGTAATTAATTACCTAGAGTGTAAGTCCAAGAAAATATAGCACCGGGCTTAGCAACGACACCGTTGTGCAAGTCACAACTCTGTATGAAATTTGACCCGCCGGAATGCGCAATATGGTGAGGCCTATTCTTGTACAAGTCATGGAGAACATCAGCTGCACTCTCTCTTATCTCTACTTCTCCCTCAAGCTTACGTTTTAGACCCATAATCACTCTTATTTATCAGTTTTATGTATCTATATTCTATACAAATACTTGGAATATATGAAAATGATCAAGAATTCACAACGTCTTATATAGAAGGAGAATAGGTACGAAGGTGATAAAATCAACAACTGCCAAATTATCTACCACCAAAGTAACTGAGATGGTCCTAATCGTTATGATAAGGCCCAAAATTTCAAATTTTGGGGTCTAAATGAAAATTCCTCAAGTAGAAGGTAACGTGTACATTGATCTAATCAACAACTTTAATTTTTTTTACTCAAAAAAAAATAAAAAAAAAAAAAATCTAATCAACATAATTTCTTAGTGTTACAAACACACTTGGTTGGCTATAATTGATCACAATTTTAATCATTGTAAGATATGGATAAATCTATATCAAATAGTAACAACGATTGTTCATGAATCTATTGTTATTATTGCCTTTAAATTAAAGGTGGCATCAAATCATAAAAAGAAATTTAATGTAAATTAAAAAAAAAAACGCTTTTAAATAAAATCTAATCACGATAAATGTTTAAAAACTTGTTTTCTCCTTGATAACTTTTTTTTAATAAAATAAAATTATTCCAACTATATAGGAAAATTTATCATTATTTTATTAAGATAAATAACACCTTTTTTTTTTTGAAGAAATTAAGATAAATAACACCTCAATATGATTATTAAGCGGTTTCAAAAAAACAAAAAAAAAATGATTATTAAGCTATAAAATTTTATTTATTTATTTTTTTTATTTTTTTTTGAGGCAAATTAAGCTATAATTAAATCACCTTTTAGATTTATAATCTAACCGAAGAAAGTAATGTATTCATGTAGAAATTTTGACGGAAAATCAACGGTGTAAAGGTGAGATATCAAAAGGGAAACGAGTTTGCAAGTCTTGGGTACCCAAAAATGGAATAACATGAAAGTAAAGTTTTGTAGCGGAAATTTTCCTTATCAATAATATGTTAATGGCATAGGTAATACTTGAAAATTGTTACCCTATTGAGTTGTACTACGATTGTAGTTTTGCATAATTTTTCTTTTTATTATATGCACAATATACAGAGTATTTAATATGAAAATAAAATTTTGTCCTACATAACAAAGACCGAGGGTAAATTGTGCATTTGTGTGCTAAATAAATGAATCCCAACTCTACCTAGGTACCAACTCATTCATTTATTTATTTACTTTTTTTTTTTTTTTTTTTTGACAGGACGTACCTACTCATCTTGTTGACATATTTAAACAAATTGTCCACACATTCAAAAAATTATCTTTCAATTTCTGTCGTTGCTGATTTTTAATCACGTGTTGATTAGGAAAGGGTAGGTAGGTTAAAATGATTATAGCTACCAGTCTTTTGACCACCATTCCTTTATTAACGAGAAATATATAATTACTCTTTTATTACTCTATTGAGAAATACAACTACCTTTCAAATGGAGGTTCTCTTATATTAAAACCAAATGGTAATAATATTAAAAAACAACTTTTCTTTCATCTCTAATTAGTGTGGGACCTGAATTTTACTATGGTTGATACTCTGAATTATTTCTTTTTTATATTAGACGCTTTACAAGACTTGTTAAATTTTTCTTATTGTGAGTAAATTAGAATACAATGACAACAATGACTTAATTTGGATTTTTTAAATTATACACTTATATGCATTTACATATAAACGTGGATTAATACACTACAAGAAAAAGGCTAGATTCTGACGGACATCTTCCGACGGACACAAAATTCCGTCGGAAATTATATATATTCCGGCAGATTTATATTCCGTCGGAAATTTCCGACGGATTTCCTACGGAATAACATTCCGTCGGAATATATGGGCATTCCGACGAAATATTCCGTCGGAAAATTTATATTCTGACGGAAATAAAATCCGTCTGAAGGTTCCGACGGAATATTTCATCGGAACATTATATTTTCCGACGGATTTAACTTCCGTCGGAAATTTCCGACGGAATATTCCGTCAGAATAAATTAATATAAAAAAACAAAACCCTAAAAATGGGCGGAATGCCCCTTCATTTCATTTTCTCTTTCTCCTTCTCTAGCCGCCCCAAATTCTCTCTCCTCCTCCCTTCTTTCTTCTCTTTCCTCTTCTCTCTGTTCTTCTTCTTCTCTTGCCCTCTTCGTTCTTCTTCTTCCCGTTTCTTCTTCATCCTCTCCTCTACGTCTTCTCTTTCTCCTCTTCTTCTTTTGTCTGTTCCCGTTTCTTCTTCATCCTCTCCTCTACGTCTTCTCTTTCTCCTCTTCTTCTTTTGTCTGTTCCCGTTTCTCTCTCCTCTAGCTACGAATCTCCTTCTTCTCGTTATCATCTTTGCAGCAACACCACCGTTCTCCTCTCCGCAACAACACCAACACATATAAATCAAGGTTTTCAGTTCAAATTCGACCATGAAAACTCTAGATCTAGAGTTTTCATGGTCGAATTTGACCTTGTTAACCCAATTTTGATGTTTTGTTTGCTCAAATTGAAGGTATGTTTATTCGGTTTTTTTTATTTTAATTTAATTTCTGTTTTTTTGTTTTATTAATTTTAATTAAAGTGGTGTATTTCGGTTTTTTTTTTATTTTGAATATATTGTTGTTTTCGATTTGATTATTTTGAAAATTTATGGTGGTGGTGGATGTTGGAGTTCGAATTGTGGTGGTTTTGGTCGGATTTTTTCTATGTTTTTTTGGGTTTCGGTGTCGTGGTGGTAGAGTGGGTGGGTGGGTTTTTTGGTGGTGGTTTTGGGTGAAGCACGTGGGTGTGGTGGTGGGTAGGGTTGGTCTGGTTGGGTGTGGTGGTGGGTAGGGGTGGGTGTGGGTGGTCTGGGTGGGTGTGGGTTGGGGGGGTGGTGGTGGGGGGCTGTTTTTTTTTTTTTCTCCTGACGTGAGGGTGGTTAGGGGGCAGGGGGCTGGTATGGGTGGTGCGTGAGGGTGGTAGGGGTGGTGCGTGAGGGTGGTTAGGGGGCAGGGGCAGGGGGCAGGGGGTGGTGCGTGAGGGTGGTTAGGGGGCAGGGGCAGGGGGCAGGGACGGAATTTTTCCGTTGGAATCCAGCTGTTTTCTTGTAGTGATATAACATGTTTTATTTCTAGCTCAGAAGGTATAAATGTGGTTTTCATTCAATGGGTTTGCTATTCATATCCCTTTGTATGCATTTTTGGTTTATGATCTCAAGTTATTGAATGATGATGTGGCATGATGTTGGTGTAAGAAAGAATACACGTGGCATATAGACAATTTTTGAAACGTCTTTTAATATACGGATAAATATATAGATGTATAGATGTGGGACACTCATGAGTATCGATACTATAATGGACAGCGGGATTTCAACAATCCACCTCATTTAATACTTAATAGGTTTGGGCAACCCAAACAAGAAGGAAATGCCTAAGGAGGATCTATACTAAAGCCTATAATTAGAGGTGTTAATTTGGATAACCAGAAGGAGTTTGGGTTGGTTCATGATGGGTCGAGTCTGTTTGGGTCAGGTGTATTCGGTTCAAAACTACCTTGTTAACCCATCTTGGGTCGGATCGGGTCACTTTCGGGTTGGGTCAAATTTGGGTCAAGATCTGTTAGATTCAGATCGGGTTTGGGTCGGATCAGCTGTAAATCGATTCATATTCGGTTCGGATAAATTCGGATTGGGTTCAAAACAAGTTTGATCGGGTTAATTTCGGGTCGGATGACTTTGAATCGGGTTGGTTTCGGTTCGGTTGATTTCAGTTATGTTAAGTTCGGTTTGATTACTAAGGTTGATTCAATATTCGACCAATTCTGATTCATATACTTTTTCGTGTTTGGCTTAATTTTGGTTAGGTTGACTAAATTTGATTTTCAAATAAGTATATTTTTAAAACTGGAGTAATTATTGAGTTTCTTATCTTGTTATTGGATCGATGTCAAGTCATTATTCATGTGTCATCTTTTCTTATCGTGTCATTAAATATATGTTTAAGGAAAAAAAATGGTAAATAAATGGTTAGGTTTAAAATTTATTATTTTTGGTTTGAAATTATGTCAAATCAAAATTAGGTCCGATTAAAATCGGGTCGGGTTAAAATTAGTTCGGATAAAAAACAGATCGGATTGAATTGGGTATTTTTCGGATCAATTTCGATTCGGATTGAGTTCATGTCGAGTCAAACCGGTTCGCGGTTTGATTCAAGTCGGGTCAAATCGATTTCGGGTTGAGTTCAAGTCGGGTCAAATTCGGATTCGGGTTGAGTTCAGTTTGATTACAGATCAGGTTTGGGCCTTGAATTTCTCAGATCAAATCGGATCGATTACAGTTTGAAACGAATGGTTTTTTTCAGATCGATTTGGTTTGACACCTCTAGCTATAATGAATTCAACTTTCTTCATTTTAGAAAAATTGTCAGCGTAATTTGTATAACGACTGAAATTTATTGTAGAATTTAAAACAATCACAACTCACAAGCATAACCAACGAGGTCTTAGTTTAGTGATTAAAATTGAGGGATCGTGTATGATAGGTCACATGTTCAAATCCCACCCTCATTTGTAATTTGTATTGTCCTTGTAGCTCATTAAACTTTAAAAAAGTCATAGGAGGGTCATATGGGGTGGGTCAATGTTGGAAAAAAAAAGTCAAGGGTGGAATCCGGTGGAAGGTAGTACGTACATTACAACATCTTACATTTTAATATAATATACATGTATAGTTAATTACAACATTTTTATTACGAGTACCAAGCCAAGCTTGGTCATCTAGTGACAAAAATTACACCTTCTAACCTTGAGGTTGGGGTTCAATCCCCATTAATGACACTTTGAGGGTAGGGATCCTTCACCTTACCTTAAAAACAAATAAAGTACAACATTTTTTATTAGGTAATTTCTCGCAAAATTCAGACTTTTATGAGTAGTTAAAACAAAAAAATCCCAAAAATATTCTATAATTAATTATCTAATGCAAAAGCTAAGAGAGAGGGGTACCATGTGTCGCATATACTTTTTAATGTACGTTGCAGGATGACTACCGCTAATCTATACTAGTTATGACGTCCCTAATAGGCCTAATTAGCTATGATTCAAATGTAACTGACAGTTATCCTCATTGAGTAATCTAAGATGATCTAGATGACTAAAGTCATAAGAGTAGCAATATCACAACATTACATAAAACGTGATGTAAGTTTTAATAATATTTTCACAATAAGTTAAATAACATATACTTGTATAACATACATAACATGATACAGATGCTCGATCATAACAGAAGATGATCGAGCATTCGAGCTAGATCATGATAAAAGCCTAGCTTATTTAGAATTTTAGACATGAAATTAATACGAGCTACAACTAATAAATCATACAGTACCACTTATTACAACATCTGCAAAAAAACACATTAAAAGCCAAAATATGAAAAATAAACCATCCTATATATACTAAATTAATGACCAATTTGTTTACTTCTTTATGCCATGGTGATGATCATCCATGTCTTTGGCAGCACTAAGCAGCGAATCAAGAAGAGCAGTTGGTTCGGGGATACCAGGATGCAATTTTTCGTACTCGAGAATCCACTTCAATGTTCAAGTTTCTTTGTCCTTAGGTATTACTTGGCATGTTCCACTAATGGTCTTGTACTCATCTAGAAGATCACCTTCGATACATCGTTGTCTAATTAACTTCTTCTCCCTGTCAACCTCTTCAATCATATTCTTTTACACATGAGCTTTCCCGTCTATATATGAACACAAATTACACATTTGAATCCATCAATTTAATAATATTTTATACAAAATAAGGGTAATTCAAAGGATATGTCACTAATTAAATTGAATAATAATAGATGGAATATACTTCGTATATATGAAGTACTTAATTTGTATATACTTCCAAAAAATAATAGAAAGGACGACTACTAGCAAAGTGTTGGCTCATTCGATAAGGTTCGTTCTTACCTCGCATCTTATAGATGTGGGGTTCGAATCCTACCAAGTTGGGATACTTGGGGGTAGAGATTCCCTTACCCTGACCTCCCCCCTACTTCCAAGTATTTGGCCGTAAATACTGATTCAAAAAAACCGTGAGGGTCGAGGTTTGCTCAGGGTCCTCAACTCTTTACCAATTAATAAAAAAAATAGAGAGGACGACTTAGACCTCTTGCTCAAATTGATTTCATCGTGAAATCAATTGGTAATAGATATGGTAAGATTGGTAACAATGTACAATATCAACATGCAAATTTTTGTTTATTACAAGATTAGTATATGTCACAAGACAAATTGTAAATTTTAGAGTTGGGTAGTATTTACCTAGAGTGTAATTATAGTATTGTATAGAGCCGGGCGTACCAGGGACGCCATGATGCAACTCACAGTTTTGTATGAAATTAGAGGCACCGGAATGCGGCATGTGGTGAGGTCTATTCTCGTACAAATCATGGAGGACATCCGCGGCACTCTCTCTGATCTCTATCTCTCCCTCGAGCTTACGTTTTAGACTCATAATTATTCTTGCTAGATTTATCTATATAGCATATAAACATGAACACTTTGAATATATGACACTGATGAAGAAAAATCATATGGTTTTATATAGAAGAAAAGTTCGAAGGTTACATCGATCAACAACTACCACCTAATTTATGTTAATTTACTACAATTGCCATGTATGGTAATGGTAAGACTAACATTCGTATTTTGGGGGTCCAAATATTAATGTTACGAAATGTTGTAGTACTATGTCGTACTTTTAGAGGACATGTTTATATACCAACAAATTCTTACAACCCCTTTAGTTGGTCGTAATAAATCACATTAATTATAGCAGTATTACACGTTATTTTGGTACGAGACAAAATCATGAATTCATTTTTTGTGGATTCATTTTCCCTAGCTCATAATCGAACTATTTGTAAGCTAAGAAAGTCCTATACCAGATTATAGTGATCCTATTCGATCACTTTCAAACATTAGATTATTTTCATTTTTCTTCTAATACCCCATATTATTGAGAAAAAATAATTGACAATAAAGGGATAAGGCAGATGTTTTGGCAGTTATGTAATGAAGTTACTAATGTTATAATTTGTGATGGACTTTTTTTTCTACACAATACTATGTAGATAGATACTATCACTTTCATTTATTACTGTTTAACACAATACCAACAAGGAATCTTCAATTTCTAGCAATTGACTTTACATCTACAAGACCACAACTAGCTAGTTAGTGGCATGTGGGGCATGTAATTTGAGATTGAAAATACTGTTAAATATTACTCCTTTCGTTTTTAAAAACTTGCTCCATTTCTTCATGCGCGGAGTTTTAGAAGAAATTAGAGAAAGTAATAAAATATGAAGGTAGTGGGGTCGGTGGAAGAATAAAAAATTGTAAAAAGCAAAAGTAGTTGAGAGAATTGGAGGAGAGAGAATATGAAATTAATATAATATAATTTATATTGGGTCCACTAGTTGAAAGAAATGAATTAAATATTGTAAAAAAAATTCAAATAAAGAAATGGAGCAAGTATTTAAAAACGGTCGGAAAAGAAAAATGAGGCAAGTATTTAAAAATGGAGGGAGTAAATTCTAAATGACTTCGGACTAGAAAGGTTAGTTAACAAATAAAATTAATTTATGATATGTTATGAATGTAATGGAGATCAAATAATATAGTGTGAATATGTGTCTCAGCTCATTGGTGGATTTCATTGCATAAATATGTTTGGGTATTGTTCTTATGAAAATAAAAAAAATCATATTAAATGATATATACTTTCCTCCATTCACTTTTTATTATAACGTTGAGACTTTCATGCTTGCTAATGTATAATTTAAATAATGTTTTATCTCGAATTAGAGATAGGCTATTACAATTATAGAAATTTGATGTGCCATCATGTCAACTTTTGCGTTAGAAACTAAAGGAAGCCACGTGTGACAATGATACAGGACAATAGGAGAGCCACTCCAAAGCTAGCTCAAAGGGAGGAGAGTCCATTGTCCTATATAAACCCAACATCAGTCCCCCATATGACCGATGTGGGACTCAAGTCCCATACCTCGCAATGGACAGTCCTATAACATTCGCCCCCCCCCCCTTAAGGACCGACGTCCTCGTTGGTCACGACCACGTTTGGTCACGGTTGGCTTCCTCCAGGCCACCAACTCCGTGGGCCACCACTCCGAGGTTGCTCTGATACCATTGATACTGGACAATAGGAGAGTCACTCCAAAAGCTAGCTCAAGGGAGGAGAGCCCATTGTCCTATATAAATCTCACATCAGTCCCCCATATGATCCATATGGAACTCAAGTCCCATACCTTGCAATGGACAGTCCAATAACAGACAAGATAATATATGAAAAAATAATCAATTAAAGTGACATTGTGCTTTTAGCCTCAATCATGGGGCCTAATTAATCTAAATTGACCTCTTTAACCACTGCACATACAAAAAAAAAAAAAATTTCGTGACATGAAGGATGATTTGTAACTTTGCTAAACAAGTAATTGTGATGGATCAGTAACTGTAGTAGGTTACAATGATAAGAGAAATTGCGAGCTAAGGATAACCCGGCAATCACAAATTATGCAAAAAATCTAATTTTTTTCCGACAAACTTTTTAAAAATCCTAATTTAATTTTTTTTTTTTGTTTTTAAATTTATTTTCCTATTTAAAAGTTTTGAATTAATATGTCATCCCCTTTATATTTTGCTAGATTTCCATACCAAATTTATTTCCAACCCCTTGTAAAAAAATATTTGTTAATAAGGGGTATGAAACTTAAATGAAAATTGATACTTAACATTTTTTTCCTTGAAATTGTTATTTCCATAAAAAGAGTTGGTAAAAAAAACAACAAAAAACAAACTAAATTAAACATTCGCGAGTAATTTGTCGGAAATTTATGTATTTTTTGGGTTAATGGTCGCCTGAGACTATTTTATTTACCAAATTGTCGCTTAGCGTTAGTTTTTTTTTTTTTTTACCAAACTGTTGCCGAAGTTATTTTTTTTTACCAATTTGTCGCTAGGGTCTTTTTTATTTACCAATCTAGTCAAATAGCCGCTGCTCGTTTTCCTTTGTAAATATGTTGGTGGTTGCCTTCTTCTCTACACACGTACATACATTCATGCTTCCTTGGCTTCATTAAGATATACACAAAAAACCAAAAACAATCTCTTATTCTCTCGTTTTGGGCAAGTATTCTGAGTTCCAGTCAGGTTTGTGAGTGTACAAAAATTCCAGTGCCGTGCTTATCCTGGAGGACGACTGCTTGATGTCTACTACACCGGGGTAGCGCGGAATCGTTTTGTAGGTTACTGGTTCGCCACGACGCGACAATTGTCAATTTGATCTACACAACGCTGAGATAATTATTTTTCATTTAATTTGCTTATTTACTAACATAAGGTACTAGCTTAAGTTTCGTGTCACGTACCGTATTTACAAATTTTCATAACAAACTAGTTTTTGGCCCGCGTCATTATATCTATATTGAAAATGAGCTTTTGTAATAAAAATTATGTGTCGAAATATAAGTATAGATTAAATTAGTTACATTATTTATGCCTCAGCCAACTTTTTCTCCTTGTCAATTTCCTCAATTATATATTCTTTGCTGCAAGTGGTTTTCCACCTATATATGAACATAAACATTAATTAAAAGAAATGTTGATTTTTTTTTTTTTTTTTTGGTACAAAAGGGTTTATTTTTTGACCAAAAAAAAAAAAAAAAAAAAAAACCAATAATATGATTATAAATTTATAATTCATTTGCATTGGAAAAATATATTTATTTGTCGCCTTTTTGAATCTTGTTTTCGTGGGAAAGATTATCGATGTTTTTGCAGCTGCAAACAAATTATTAAACGTAGAAGTGTAACTAAGAATTTTTGTGTGCTCATTATATATTATATGGAGTACTGCGTATAAACTTTTGTTTGGAATAGTTGAAACTTCACGTTGTAATTGTAAAATATAAATTTTTATAATTCAATATAATAGATTAACTAAAAATATATAATAATTAATGGTCAAATACATACTCTGTCATACGTTTCATCACATTCTTAACAGAAAGCCCAAAATTAAAAAAAAAATGAAGGTCATGAGTGATTAACTAAATTATAAAACATGACATATATTTGGCAGAGATTTAATTATAATAATAAATCTAACAAAACCAGCTTAGGACACATTATATTAATAACACATGGATAATCAAGGACTGAATACATACATCATACATACATGCCTTATTTTGTAGCAATAATATCTCTCACAAAGTCACAATTAACATTAATACAAATAACTTGCAAGGAAAGCATGCAACTTCTTACAACATTTTGATAAACATGGCGTATGTAATAACATAAGTAACTTAATATGTTTACTTTTGGCCATGGTGATGATCATCGACGTGTTTGATAGCATCAAGCCATGAGTCGAGCAGAGCAGATGGTTCAGGGACATCGGGATGCTTCTTTTCATACTCTAAAGTCCATTTAACTATGTTGCTTTCTTCATCCTTGGGTATCACCTGGCTTGCTCCATAGAAGGTCTTATAATCATCCAAGAGATCGCCTTCGATCACTTGGTATTTCACATACTTCTTCTCCTCATCAACCTCTTTAAGTACACTCTTTGCTTTCTGAGGCTTCCCAGCTAAAACCATAATTATAAATTATAAATAATCAAATTTTGAATAACTAGTGTGAAACTATATGAAAATTACTAAAGCGAGTTAGCGATTATATTTTAAATGTTAACGAATGATAGAATTAATATATTTTATCAAGACTAATTCGAGCTACCATATGTATATATAATTTAAATTTTATTGGGTGCTTTGTAAAACTATATATATGAAAATTTCTAAACGACTTACATTTTAAATGTCAATGAGTAATATATACAGGATTATTAATTATATGAGATCGGAGATATGAAATAGAAGTTACCTAAAGTGTAGTTCCAAGTATGTGTAGAGCCAACTTTGCCATGTTCACCCTCGTGCAAGTCAACACCATGCACAAAATGAGGGGCAGCATGAGAAATATGATGAGGTTTATTCTTAAGTATGTCATGGTGTGCATCTGCACCAGTTGCTCTAATCTCAACTTCACCCTCAAGCTTACGTAAACCACTCATGTTTTCTCACTACTTTACTCGAAATGTTTATGCCCACAACATCTTATACGAGTAGCTATTTATAGAACGATATCATCGAGATATTAGATACTCGTATGTGACAATTAAGTCCAAATATTATGTTGCAAAATTTGTACGTATTTCTCTTACTCTTTTGTATTACCGTGTGAAAATGGCAAGATCCAAGGTCCTCGCAAAATTTGGTGATACTCTTTAAAAGTCTAATTATTATATGACAACCCATTAATGACTGGCTCAAATGTTGTCCCTACTCTCTAATACAGCACTTTTCGTGGAGGTCTTTTAACTTAGTTTGTCATCATAAAAAACACACTCAACTTCATACGAAAGACCCAATTCATCTAGCTAGTTAGAGATAGGCTATTAAAATTATGAAATTTTGATGTGTCATCATGTTAATTTTTGCGTTAGAAAGGAAGTCACGCGTGACAAGATCAGATAATATGTGAAAAAATAATCGATTAAAGTGACATCGTGTTTTTAGCCTCAATCATGGGGCCTAATTTATAATCTAAAGTTGACCTCTTAACCAAAAAAAATAAAAACTGGCATCGTGACAAAAAGGCTGGTTTGTAACTTGATATCATCCATGGCCTATTTATGGCCATATATGAAAAACTATAAAATCAAGTGTATCATGTTAAACAAGTACTAGTAGTAATGTAGTTCAGAATTGTAGTAGGCTACAATGATAAGAGAATTGCGAGCCAAGGATAACCCCGCAATCACAAACTACGCATTAATTATTCCATCCGTTTGATTATATAGATTTATGTATATGTACCACATCAATCCAATTAACGGATTAGTCGATTAATTACTAATTAGGGAGATGAATGATACAATAATTCTACTAATGAGATAAGATGTTTCATGAGCAATTACATGTTATAGATATAATGGGAATGCCACACACTAGGAGATACAACTGCAAAAGCTGATGGAATGGAAGAGCTAATGACTTGACGAATCGTGAAGAATGGATATGATCGCACTGCTATTACATCTCATTATTTTGCTCCCCGTCTGCAAATCCTTCATAGAAAGCCCATCCACACTTCAAGCCCAACAGGCTCTTGTGTGTGAGGGGGATGTGATAGAGTATAAATCATATTCCTGGGCCTCAACTATTAGTTTAACCTTTCGGTTGAGTTGGTCCATTAACATAGTATCAATAGCTAACGTGACGTAAAAGTCACGGGTTCGAATCTCATCGATCCACCCCTCCATTTAAAGTGGAATATTAAAATTTGGTGATACTCTGTACACTACAAAAGTCTAATTACTTTTTCGTGATGGTCTTTTAGCTTAGCTTGTCATGATAAAAAATATACTCAACTTCATACAAAAGACTCAATCCATCTAGCTAATTGATATGTTGTCATGTTAACTTTTGCGTTAGAAAGGAAGTCAGGCGCGACAAGATAAGATAATATGTGAAAAAATTAATCAATTAAACTATTAAAGTGACATCGTGTTTTTAGCCTTAATCATGGGGCCTAATTTATAATCTAAAGTTGACCTCTTAACCAAAAAAAATAAGAAGTGACATCGTGACAAAAAAGCTGGTTTGTAACTTGATATCATCCATGGCCTATGTATGGCCTTATACACGCTAAACAAGTACTAATAGTAATGTAGTTTAGAATTGCAGTAGGCTACAATGATAAGAGAATTGCGAGCTAAGCATAACCCCGCAATCATAAATTGCGCATTAATTATTCCATCCGTTTGATTATATAGATTTATGTATATGTAGTTATGTACCACATCAATCCAATTAATGGATTAGTTGATTAATTACTAATTAGGGAGATGAATGATATTATAATTTCTACGGATGAAAAAAGATATTTCATGAGCAATTACATGATAGATATAATATAACAATGCAAATACAGATAACACATATATGATCAAAGTTAGTCTGCTTTGACCATTAAATCTAGAATTAACATATTACAAACACGCATAATTTCTGGCCATTCATACATTGAGCTTGATCATGATACAAGCCTTATTTAGCTTTAAGCTTAATGCAAACTACAAAAACCAATAAAGCATATGACTTCTTACAACATTATTATTAGAAGCAATTACACAATAAAAGGTAGAACAAGACATAAAGAACATGCATCATAATAGGAAGAGTACGTTACGCTACACAGCGTGACACTTTAAGTAGTACAAGCTAAGCTTGTTTACTTCTTTACACCATGGTGATGATCGTCGATGTCTTTGGCTGCATTGAGCAAAGAATCGATGAGGGCGGTTGGTTCAGGGATACCAGGATGGAGTTTCTCGTACTCCATCGTCCACTTCACTATGCTGGTATCTTTGTCCTTAGGTATCACTTGGCATATGCCAGTAATGGTCTTATACTCATCCAAGAGATCGCCTTCAATAACTCGTTGCCTCACCAACTTTTTCTCCTTGTCTATTTCTTCAATTATATTCTTTGCTACAAGAGGTTTTCCGCCTATATTTGAACATAAACATTAATTAAAAGAAATGTAAGTGAATCAGCTAGTTCAGGCTTCATTAGACGACAATCCCTAGCTAGAAAGGAGTCATTGAAATAGATAGAGCTGATAAGTTAATTGAAAATAATAAGGTAGCTAATATAATCCTCTTAAGTCCCAGTATAAATTTAAGGCTATTTACCCTTTAGAGTTTAGGCGACCCTAATTAGGGCCAAAATCGGCATGTTGATATTAAAGCTTCGGCTCCTAAAGCTTAGTCATTTAGTGATATGATATTCAAACGATCACTTGATTAAATTAGAAGAGTGATGGTTACAAAAAATATATAGGAATATAACTTTAGCTCAAATATATTATTCCAGCTTATTCCTTCAATTTTTGTAATTAAAAAATAATTTCAATCTAATAGAATTATAGACAAATAAAAGGACAATCCAAATCGAGAACATATATAGCTACATTGAGTAATACTAAGTACTCTGTAGTCCATATACTCCCTCCGCCCGCAATTATCTGCAACATTTACCTAAAATGGGTGCTCTATATTATTTGCAACAAATTTTTTTCTTTCCTTTTTGGGTAATATTTAACTATCAATTACCTACTATTACCCACTTTGTTGGTTAGTGGTCCCCTCCACCATCACCCACTAACTAAAACCCACTCAAAACAAAAATTAAGTGGGACCACTCCTTTTCCCTCCATTTTCAACCTTAATTAAACCCACCAAAGCTCAATTAAAACTCCCCTAAAAGTTTTGTCTAGGAGTCCGAAATATTGTCCTTTGTTGCAGATAACCTCGGGCGGAGGGAGTATATTATATATTATATAAATACTACAATACGTACCAGTTTTGTACTTCCAAACGATGATAGAGCCAGGCTTACCAAGCTCGCCCTCATGCAAGTCACAACTTTGAACAAAATGAGGGGCAGCATGGGATACATGATGAGGTCTACTCTCATATATCTCATGGTACACATCTGCAGCTCCAGCTCTAATCTCAATTTCACCCTCAAGTTTACGTTTAAGACCCATAATTATTGTTAATTAAATTTGTTTATTGCAATATTTACATATCAATATATCATATCATTTTATAGGGAAACATTTCTATTTAGATGATCAGGTCTGCATGAATAATCACGTGAATTCTGCTTTCTCAAGAAATTTATATTTTATTAGTCCCACCATATAATTATTGAGATAAATATATTTTTAATCGTCATCATTAGATATTATAGATATCTTCTTTAAAACTACTCTCCCAACGCAATTATTGATGCAATCATAATGTACCTAATTCGCCATTTATTTTTATTTTATTAATTTTTTTTTTTTTTTTTTTTTTTTTGGTGTTTAGAGAGCCACAAGGGTGGGTGATGAGAATTGATCCCAAGATCACCTGAAATCGGGAGGGGAGCTCTAACCATTTGAGCTATCCCTCACTCTCAATTCGCCATTTATGGATGCTTATATTTTTATTTTTTTAAATATTGAGTAGTAAAATCAATCCATTAATAAATATACAACATCTTCAAAAGATATTCGAATTTAACAAATACATAAATTGAAACAAAAAGAATTCTTTCATATAAACTACGATCGTCTACGTAGAACTTGCACCGTGAAACATCTCCCGCTTACATCACTGGAATCTACCGTCTTTTTGGAGAGACAATTTAACGATCTGTTGTATCCTTAAGGATGATTTTTACCTGATTTATTTTAATTTACGATCCTGCGTAATTCTTTACCAATGAAACAAATTTACAACAATCCATCAAAACAAACATCAAATCCTCCTCAAAAGAAGAGAACAAATAAAAACTTTGTTTTCGAATGAGAAAGATCATATCCTCCTTAAAAATGAAGAAAAACCTTTTCTTTCGAGGGAGAACGAAAAGATCCTCCTATTAGAGGAAGGTTTATCATAAACCTAAAATCAAAGAGAAAAAAAGACAAGAAATCGAATCGAACCGATAATCATTAAAATCGAACTGAAATCGACGCGTAAGATACTTAAACCGATTTCAAACCGAACCGAAACCGAACTGTCAAACCGTTTTGACATTACTAGAAATATGTGATTAATATAGAAAGTTTATCATATTAGAGGAAGTTTATCATAAACCTAAATCAAAGAGAAAAGAAGACAAGAAAAAAAGATTGGGGGCTTTTTACCGATAAAAATCGATGAAAGCCCCTTTAAAATTTATCTACATTTTTAAAAATCCCCAAAATCTATTAATTAATTAAATAAATTTAATGTGTTAGTTAGTTGTCCCCAACGATTTAATGTTTCTGCAGAGTTGTAGAGAGATATATGGTGGGTGGTTATCTATCATAATAAGGGCGTAGAAATTAAATGAGCAGGACAACAATGAATAAGATGAGGAGCGACATGATAATATAAACATGTAATTAAGGGTCCATCCTCCATCTCCTGCATGCATGTTCTCCTACATGTATTAGACCACCGATCATTCGGCAGAGCAAAAACATGAGCATCATTGTTCTCTATGTGCGCCTTGCCATTAGCAATACCACGAGAACGTTCCTCAGGCACGGTCCAACGTGGTCGGAGGTTGCTGGGACAGTAAATTAGCTCTCACAGCAGCATACTTATCATCAATGCCAATTAAAAATTGGTGCAACTTTTCTTCCTCTCGATCAAGTTCATATTTAGCCGCAACATTGCAAGCACAAAGCCCACATTCACAGCCATAAGGGGGCTTGAGACGATTAAGATCATCAAATAAACCCATCAAAGTGGTAAAATAATCCCCAACCGTCATAGTCTTCGTCTGTTTGCAATTAGTGATTGCAGTTCGTAATTGCTGGAGACGAGGTCCGCTAGCCACACAAAACCTCTTCTCCAAATAGTCCCAAAGCTTCTTTGCTTCGTCAAAGTAAGGGATAGAGGCTGCAAGATTAGCATCAATGGCTCGCAACATCCACGACACCAACATCGAATTAACCGTTTCCCAGTCAAGCAGCTTCTTCTCCTCACTCGGTTTGGAGATTGTGCCATCAACAAACCCATACTTCCGCCTTGATTTCAAGGATAGTATAATCGCGCGAGACCAAGCAAGGTAGTTTTCACCGTTGCGGACCTCATGAGTGATCAAATTCCCTGGTTGATCTCCGGCGCCAAGGTAGAAAGGAGAGGACAGATCAATCTTGCCGTCTCTACCCATCACAATTAGAGGGAAAAAAAATTTAAAGTTTTAGGTTTTAGGTTTTAGATCCTATATCATGTTAGGAATGAATTTTATGTGTTTTGTATTACTGTAGAGAAGAGTATATTAATACAATCTACATTGGGTCTAACAACACATACCCCAAAGAACTAACTATACATAATACAATTAACGGACTAAATAAATATTTATATATATACGGCCTAACAATGCACTTCCTCTCATCTCACCTTCATTTAATTTAAATGTAATCAATATAATTGAATTGCATTTTTTTTTTTTTTTTTAAAAAAATAGATTGAATTGGTTTTCAATCCGAACATTTAATTTACCAATTCTACAATACAAATTCTTAAATGGATCTGGTTCACACAAATTTATTGTGGACCACTAACATTAGAGATACTAGGATTGTTTTATTGATAAAAAAAAAGGTCACTACATTAAAATAAAGGTTATTATAATTGAAATATAAGCGATTGCGACATTATAAAAGCTATAAGAGGTTAATTTTTTGGGATATAAACAGAAATAACATTAAAAGTCACACAAGTTTTAACAAAGGTTACAATGTTAAAAAATAAGGACACTATGTTAAAATTACGGTCACTATGTTCCAAATAACGTTAGTTCTGCGTGTATATAAATCTTAGGTCCACAATAATATTATCGTGGATCAAGTCCACGCAAAAATTTCTATTATGACATAGACCCACCTAATTGAAATATGTGATTAATATAGAAAGTTTATGGATAAGTCCAACTAATGCAAACTATCTCAAATCACTCATATAGTCATATATGGCCTTTTCTCTAAAAACTTGGTAAGAGGAATAGTATTACAGCCCATAGTACAATACGAGTACCATTTTTCGGGATTATGTTTCATTAAACTTCTCAATTTCTCTTCACAAAATAAATGTTATCACTTCAGTATATACTTAAATTAAGTACTGTACACAATTATTATATATACCTTTTATTTTTTCACATTTTGGACATTATTGTAATTATGCGTGCCTTTCTTAATGTTGATTGTTAAATATAGTATATTTTTTTATTTTTGTACAAAAAGGGTTTATAATAATATAAAACATGACATATATTTCGCAGACATTTACAATGCATATAACAAAAACAGCTTAGAACACAATATATTAATAATACAAGGATAATCAAGGATTGAATACATGCATGCATGCCTTATTTTGTAGCAATATTTCTCACAATTAACATTAATACTAATAACTTTTGCATGGAAAGCATGCTACTTACAATATTTTTATAAACATGGCGTATGTAATAACATAATTAACTTAATATGTTTACTTTTGGCCATGGTGATGATCATCGACGTGTTTGATAGCATCAAGCCATGAGTCGAGCAGAGCAGATGGTTCAGGGACATCGGGATGCTTCTTTTCATACTCTAAAGTCCATTTAACTATGTTGCTTTCTTCATCCTTGGGTATCACCTGGCTTGCTCCATAGAAGGTCTTATAATCATCCAAGAGATCGCCTTCGATCACTTGGTATTTCACATACTTCTTCTCCTCATCAACCTCTTTAAGTACAGTCTTTGCCTTTTGAGGCTTCCCAGCTAAAACCACAATAGTTATAAATTACATTTTAGTACTTTGTGAAACTATATGTACATAAAAATCACTAAAAACGATTTATACTTTAAATCTTAAACGTTTTATCAGGACTAAATAATTGAACTAATCTATACAAAAAAAAAGGAAAAAAAAAATTAGTACTTTGTGAAACTATATATATCAAAATCACTATAATAAACGGCCTATATATTAAATCTTAAACATTTTATCAAGACTAAATTGAAACATTAAAAAGAAGTACTCCGTATTAAATTATTGGAAGAGAAGTTACCTAAAGTGTAGTTCCAAGTATGTGTAGAGCCAACTTTGCCATGTTCACCCTCGTGCAAGTCAACGGCTTGCACAAAATGAGAGGCAGCATTAGAAAGGTGATGAAGTTTATTCTTAAGTGTGTCATGGTGGGCATCTGCACCAGTTGCTCTAATCTCAACTTCACCCTCAAGCTTACGTAAACCACTCATGTTTTCTCACTACTTTACTCGAGATGTTTATGCCCACAACATATTATACGAGTAGCTATTTATAGAACGTAACGTACGAGATCATCGAGATATTACGTATGCGACAAGTCCAAATATTATGTTCCACAATTTGTACGCGTGTTTCTCATATACTCTTGTATTACACTGTGTGTGTGAAAATGACATCCAAGGTCGCGAAATTTGGCAATACTCCTTTCTATAAATATCTAACTATTTCATAAAACATAACCAACTCCATACAAAAGACCCAAACCAACTCTTATGACTCAACTAAAATCGCAAACAAACATGATACCTACAATTGGCTTTCGCGGCGGGATTTTTTCGTCGTGATTAGCTTTTACGAAGGAAAAGTATTCTACGACTGTCTCCTTCTAGGACGGGCTTGCGATGGAAAATCAAGCCATATATGGTCTTTTAGACTTTTATGATGGGTTTAGAAAGAATTTAACGTCGTGAATGAGTTCTTATCATGTAGTTTAGTGTTTTTTTTTTAAAAGAGAAAAGGTTCTATAAGCTAAAACCTCTCGCTTGTCAACCTAGTTCAAATGACTGAATGAGTAGGATGAATTCTTTAGGGAGAGGGATCGGGCAAAGAAGCATCGCATTCCCTCCTATTTTCGTATTAAAACATCACCCTAGGCTGCTAACTAAGATTATGGGAAAGTAAGGGAATTCGTCCACCCCAAAGTGCTTTCTTGTATAGTAGAATTTGATTTCACAATATCATGGTTCTAAGATACAAATCTTTCTATTAGGTCAAATATTAATATTCTCAGTTAGCAATATTCGTTAATTTATTTTATAAACATATCGGACCACTTTACACAAAGCAAGTACTTTTGATTTTCAAAATTATTTGGTGAAAGGGGAGCTTGTGGGTGCTAATATTGATTATTGGTGTTGTACACTTGCAGTTGTACATAACCTTTATTAAAAGTATAACAGTTGTACTGGACATGACAACGCGCGATAATAAATAATAATGTAGCACTTCCAGATATCCCAATATACGAAGTAGACTTGACAACAATAATATGAACCAAAATCGATTCGATTTGAGCTAATAAAAAATAAAATAAATGTGACTTAAATTAATTTATTTTCAAATATAAAATCAATTGGCCTTGTAATTGATATGAATAAATTCAAACCTAAATAGACTTTACATTCCTAAATCCGAACCAAATAAATGACCTAGAGCAATTGCCTGCTGATGGGAGATATGACTTCAACTACATTGCAGAACGAGGAGATTGTTAATTGTTAGAGATATGAGATATCAGAAAATATATGTGTGATATATTTTTCGTATGATCTTATTAGGAGAATAATATATTTAGGTTTATTTTATGTTAAGATATTATTTAGAGAATATATCTTTAGGATTATTTATGATTATAGTAGTATATCTTTTAGGAATATTGTTTCTTATCTTATGAGCGTAGGTATTGTATAAATACTTTACCTATTGATGAATAATAAACAAGTCATTCAATTCTCTCTTCACCCTAATTTGTCATGGTATCTGAGCCAGATTAAATTAAAGTCCTATGTACTTATGTAGTAAGAAAGACAACTAGCACACAAATAAAGCGAAATTTCATAAAAACAAAAAAAATGACTAGCACACAAATAGATGAAATTTCATTCTAAAATCATATAATAATTGTCTAATACTCCCTCTGTCCCTTAGTTTTTGCCTCATTTGACTTTTTACGGTCTCCAAGACATGTCTTCAAACGCATATATCTCCATTTTTATACGCGTAAAAATTACTACCTTTGTTTTTTTATATGTGCAACTTTGAAATATTTTATGTCTCACAAATATTTCTCAAAGTTGCACATAAGAAAAATCGGAGGTAGTATAAAAATTTGATATTAATAAACTTTACAATAAGACAATTCTAACAAAATCCCACATGAATATATTATCACTTATAAATCAACGAGAATTCATGGTCAAAGTTTATAAAAATTTGACCCATATTTTTGCAAAGGGGCAAAAATTAAGGGACGAAGGAAGTATGAGGCAGGAGTATATTATAACAATATTAATGATTTCTAATGTTGTACCAAAGAGTGGTTGGGTTGAAAAGACTAATTGTGCACTAATATCCATACAAATTATGGTATGGCCCCATGATTTTCCTCAAATTTCACCATCACCATTTTACGCCCACATGCATGGACAGTCATCATTTGGCTTAAATCATTGGTTCATAATACGACAATAGTATCAATATCGTTGATCAATAATACTTTAATACGAACTGTGATGGTCTTTACAATAATTCTTTGATGTAATTTTTTTTTTTTTTATGTTCTACTCACTTAGATAAACAATTTGAAAAATATTAAAATTTAAGTAGATGTAAGATAAAGTATTAAGTATAAGAGATAATAGACAAAGTAAGAGAGATCAAGTAAAAAAGGGGATGTGCAAGAAAAAGAAAAAAAAAAACACCTAAGTAGGAGTGAGGTGTGAAATAATGTAATTATTATATTGTAAAAGGGGTAATCAAATAGAATGAACCAAGTAAATGAGAAAACGATAAAAGAATTAAAACAGAAAGTGAATAGAACAAAAAGAACAAAGGGATTATTATATCCAAAACTGAAGTAAAATTAAACTTATATTTGAAATCAAGTAATTAATAGATATACATCATTAGTCCCTAATCACGCTTAAGTGGGAGCTTAAGGCATTATTAAACTATGATTTTAGCACAAATGGTAGCTTCAAAAAAGCGAAAGTGTTTTTAGAGGTACCGTACCGATCATGATTTATCCTTGTATATTTCTCTAATTTTAATTTTTTTTAGTTGATATGTTTTCCTTGTTACATTTGTCAATGTACAAGTTCAATGATTAATATTTTTAATTAACAATAGGTAAAAAAAAAAAAATTGTAAAAGTTGATATTATAAAAATACTAGTTTAGATCCCGTGCCATGCACGGTTATTGTGAAAGTTATTATTAATCAGTTTGACAATATTTAAGAAAACATCTTATACGTATCACTAATTACAGTTTTATGAAAACTATTGTTTACACAAAGGAGCAAAATACACCCAAAAGTGTTTCTTGCTCAATTGATAATTAAATGAACAATATTTATCAAAATGAGTAAAAAGTAATTTCGGTATACATTGTACCCAAGTAAATATAAGAATCTCTGTCACTTTTCTCAATTTAACTTTTGCATAATTTACATACACCACATTGACTAATATTTGTGATATATACATAAATTTAAATATAGTCATGTAGATACTACCGTCTCAATGCATGTGTGGTTTTCATTCAATTACAAAATAGAGGGGTATAATGTTTCATACTTCAAACCTTATCTCACACAATAATAAATAAAAAAAATTAGAACATGCAGGAGAAAAAAATTGGCAAGTGGAAATCGCACTATGAAGTCATACTTGTTTTAATCAAATTAAATATTGGTTCTTGTCATATTTGTTAAAATTAACAATTTATTTAGAGTTTCCATAATTATAACAGGAAATAAATGGGAGGGGAAAAAATATATTGAAATAAATTATTTTGGCAAGCAAAATTTGCTCTTTAGTATAAAGTTAATGTTACATAATTAGATAAATATTTAGGTAAATCATAACAATGATAATTTTTCTTGTAGTACAAAATGTCACTAGATATGTTAAATTTGATTACGGAGTTTTTTTTTTTTTAGTTGTCAATCTTGTATGTTTAAAGATACCGAATATACTAAATCTTTTATTTTAAGTAATTATTATATTAATAAAAAATAGTCATTATTTTAGTATAAGATCTTTTTAAAATATGCTTTTTTAAAATAAATAAATAAGGACACACTAAGAGATGACATGTGTCATTGCTGGTGTGTTTTTTAGTATATAGTTATTGATTAATTGAGATAATTCTAAGAAGATCACACATAGTTAGGCCTTGTTTGGTTCACCTTATTTTTACTGATCTGATCTGGTCTGGTCTGATCTGGTCTAATCTGATCTGGTCTGATCTGACCAAACTTTGACCTTAAGTTTACGATAATCTATAAGGAAAAAATATATCAATTGGGATCTTGTTAGATTTGTAATAATGTGTAGTTTATTAATATGTAATTTTCACAATTTTTTCATTACGAAATTAAGAATATTAGGGATAAAAAACCGCACATAAAACGATGTTCTGATCTGAACTTGTTTTTTTCTGATCTGAACTTATTTTTTTTTATTTGAACTTATTTTTTCTGAAATAAGTAAAATTAAGCTGAACTAAACAAGGTCTTACTCCGTATGTTTTATATCACAACTATAGATCACAAAAGCTAAACTTAAAATTTGTGAATAGCCTATTAAAAAGTCAAATTAAATCAGCTAAAAAATACGAAGAAGATTTTAAAAGCGGAGGGAGTACTAATAATATTTTCTTTGTGAACAAAAAAGTTATCTCCTACATAAGAATCGTTATCACAACGAACTCTTTAATAAGTTTTCACAGTTTGTTCGTTCGCTCATTCGAGGATTAAAAAAATTGACGATAATAATTATAAATTATAACATTTTCATCATCATCAATTACCATATAGTAATGCATGATTTGTGCACCCGAGAGCACTATGCACATGGTGCACCTGGTTAAATAAAAAAAAGGCGGAATGAACATTTAGATGTTTGAAAAAAAGCATATAAGTTTTTGAAAAAGAACATGTTTTTGTTCAATAAAGAACATGCACTATTAAAAAACATAAAGACATTACAAAAAGAACATGATAAAACTTTATTAAAATTTTATGAAAGTTACGCATTAACAAAATTTTTTTTTACCAAAGATATCATTTCCCCAAAAATAGTTTTTTCTCTCTCCAAAAATTCATCTTTCCATAATAATTTTAGTTTTCTCTCTCTAAAATATTTTCAACTAAAAAAAAATTCAAGATTTCATTTTCATTTCAAATTAAATTTCAAAATTCAAAATAACATATGTTAAAAAACATAAGTTATAATGTAAAGAACATATAATTCATACCCGAAAAACACACTGATCAAACTCAAAGAACATAGGATGATAAAATAAATGATATATGATAATTCAAAAAAGAATTTGTGCGTCACTCGTTACCTCAAAGAACATACGAGCCAAATTCAAAGAACATACTTTGTATAATTGAAACCCAAAAAACACGTTTAATCAACATATATATGTTAAAGAAAATAAGTATAAAAGAATATATTATCAAACATATATGGGTATGTTATTTATCAAACGCAATATGTTCTTTATTAAACAATCGTATGCTCTTTCTGTCTTTTGTGTGCACCATGCACAAGGTGCACCCGAGTGTACTATCCTATTTTCAACCATGTAGAGGTACATAATATTTAATGATATACGGATTATGTATATAACACATGCGAAAAGCCTAAAAGTGGTTCCATCAAAATGTAAATGGACATCTGATCTTATTACATTATTTTTTTATTTTTTTTTTACAATCTTATTACATTCTTAAACTTGGAAGTACACACACAATTTCGTTACCATTGTTACCAGCGCGCCAATGTAGTTCATATAATTAAACTTCCTTAATTAGCATTCATTATTATTACGTACCATCGTTATTGCCACCCTACGACCTACGTACCAAAAGACATAATTACTGGCTATTGGATCAACGTCTTCTCCTCGTCAATCTCTTTAATTTGCTACCATAGGCTTCCCACCTAAATAATTAATTAGACTTAATGAATTCGGTTACCAATTCTTGTAGAGTGAAAGCATAGAGAAGGGAAAGGGACGGAAGAAGGGATTACCGAGAGGAGGAAAGAAGTGGGCTTGCACTCAATTAAAAATATGTAGTACATCATATATCAATAGGTCTTAGCTGCATTATGGTGCAGCCAGGATAGCTGCATCACGTCATATAAAATAAACATTTAGTAAAACAATATGAACAGAAAAAAAAAATGAACATTCAGTAATAAAAAAGAACACGTAAAAAATGAATATTTAGTACTGAAAAATTAAAAAAATGTTTAAAAAATGATTATCATATTTTTAAAAATTATCGTATAATCATATAATTGCTAGACCACAGCCTTAAAAATGAACATTTAGTAAAAAAAAATTATGAACTCGTAAAAAAATGGACATTTAGTAATAAAAAATGAACACGTAAAAATGAATATTTAGTAATAAAAAGTGAACACGTCAAAAAAATTATGAACATTTAGTATATTAAAAATGAACATATTCATCATACAATTATAGAATGGCTTGACCATACCAAATAAAATGAACATTTTATAAAAATGTATGAACACATTAATTAAATAAAATGAACATTTAGTATAATAAAATGAACACGTCAAAAATTTATGTACATTTAGTATATTAAAAATGAACACGATTTTCATATATTCATATAGGTTAAAGTTCATTGTATATAATTATTAACGAATATTAAAGATAAAATTATTCGTTAAATATGTTCAATTTTAATATACTAAATGTTCATTTTTAGTGTACTAAATGTTTATTTTGTACTAAATGTTCAATTTTAAAATACCACGTGTTTATTTTTTTCCAAAAAGAATACACAAGTTCGATTGTAATTATTTTAACTCTAAAAATTCGAATATCCACCTTAAATCTAATCTTGGTTCATCATAAAGACAATAATTATCGATCTATATCATGATAAATTAGAAATCACAAATGTTAAATTGATAAAAATCAAAAATTTCATAAAATTCACATACTAAGTTATTATAAGGAAAGGGGAAAAAGATGAGAGAGAAACTTTCAAAATGAGAAGACAATAGAAGAGAGAGAGAAAATTAATAGAGGTTAGAAAGAAGAAGAGAGATAATTAAGATATAAGGAAAGAATTAAAGAAATGTATCTTCATTTTTTATGTACTGTATGTTCATATATATAGTTGGTGCAGCAGTATGTAGCTAAGAATTTGCGATCATATATTGGGCCGAAACTTGATTTTTAATACCTTTTTTTTTTTTTTTTTGTATTTGTATTTGATACCTACAAGTGTAAATAAGTCATACGATCCACCTCCCTCCTTGAAAAATTAATCATACTTTGTGGGTTTATAGTATGGATTTAGAAATTGATTTTATCTAGCTAACAAACATCAAAATAGATTCTACGCATTTCAAATCCATAAATCATACCTAAAATCTACAAGCCAAATGCATATTCATTGTAATAAAATTACCTAAAGACTTGATGCATATAATTAAGAGAGAAAGATAATGATTTACCTAAAGTATTGTTCCAAAGATGTTTTCATGCAAGTCAACGCCGTGCATAAAATGAGAAGCCACAGTGGAATATATGAATTTTATTGTACATTAAACATGTCATATGGTGGGCATCTGCACCAGTTTCTCCGATCTCAAGTTTACGTGCTCACACTATCTCACTATAACATGTTTAACGAAAATCCCACTTACACAACTCAAATGTACATATTACATCATTTACATAATTACATGCATCTTTTTTCGTAAGTGTGCCTATAGAGTACTAGATTCGTTTCACTTTTAAGAGAGGAGATATGGTGTAATTAAAAAATGTGTCCCACATGGTGGTGGCGAAAATTATAATTAAATAGAGGAAAAATTATAGAGTACATGCAATAGTTGATAGGAAGTTGTTACTAGAAACAAATTGACATTGAGTACAAATATATGATTATTAATATTCTAGTCAGTAGAATATGGAGATCCTTATAAACATGATTATTATTATTAAAATTATTAAATACTAAACTAATTATGTTTAAAATTTTATGAATTCTTTTTTTAAAAAAATCTAATATCATATCATATCATACCCCTCTCTCTCTCTCTCTCTCTCTCTCTCTCTCTCTATATATATATATATATATATATATATATATATATAAAGCCGGTCTCGCACCCAGGCCACGAGACAGCAACACTTGGCATTTTAGATATTCGTTAAGTGTCGTGCCACGTAGGCGAAAATTATGTATTATTGTTACACATATGATGCTAAGTATGAATAGATTTTTTAAGATAAAATCGTTGTATAGAGTTTTATTGTCAATATACTTCTAATATTTCATATATACAAAATTAGTTATAACTTCTAATAAATATCCCATAACTCGATTATATTCCATCGTAAAGTTCATTTTGAAAAGTTATTTGAAGGTGAGATTGTTTTGAAAAGAAGTGGTAAAAGTGGAATTGTTCTTTTCCATTTTTCCTAAGTCAAATACCACATAAGCAAAATTGGCGAATGGGATTTTAAAGTTTAAATTAATTAAATATAGGATATTGACTTTTGAGATTATGAATAATTTTATCTAAATATATAACGAATGAGAGAAAATTCACAATTTATTTTAAAATAAAAATATAAATGATATATACTATGTATAATGAATAAAATAACAAATTTATCACACTAATACAATAAGGAGCCGTTTGGTTTGCAGGGGGTAATCGGAATGGAATGAACAAAGGGAAATAAAGAGAATGGAATGAAAAACCTTTCCAAGTAGTATGTTGTTTGTTTTTAAAAAAAATCAAAGGAATGGAGTCACCAGTCCACCACCACACCACCACCACACAGTCACACAAACACCTCATTCCTTCAAATTTCCAGCCATCACTCACTCAGCCAGCCCACCACTCAGCCACCACCTAGTCACACTCGCCGCCCCTAGTCGCACCTCCCCCACCCATCCCCGCCGTTCCTCGCCGTCCAAAAACCCCACCTTCCCCCCGAAACCTTCCCCTACCGTCCTCTTCTTCCTCCTCCTCCCTGTAAAAACCCTAGAAACCTAAAAACCTTATCGATTTTCGACCACCTCACCCAAACACCTTATCGATTTTCGACCACCTCACCCACGAAACCCTCACTGTCGAGTCCCTCTTGCCGGCCACACGTCCCCACCCACGAAAATGTCCATCCACAACCACCCCACCTACGAAACCAACGAAAATCCTCCCTTTCGATGGTAGGTGGGTGGTTTTCGGGGGTAGGGGAAGGGTTTTTGGGCGGCGAAGAAGAAGGTAAGGTGCGGCAAGAGTAGCTGAGCGGTGGGCGGTGATGGTCGGGGAAGGGGCGGCGATGGCGGTGGAGGTGCGACTGGTTGGCAGTTGGGTGGTGGGGATAAGGTAAAAGGGTGGTGGGCCTGGTGGCTAGTGTGTGTGTGGTGGTGGAGGGGTGGCCAAGGAAAGGGAATGCAAAAGGTAGGGGGGGTGGGGAATGACTTTAGAACAATTTTGGATAAACCCAAAAATAAAAATGGAGAATGGGAATGACAAAACATGCAAAACAAACACTTACAAAGGGAATCGTTCTCATTCCCTTTTCTCATTACAGCGAACCAAATTACCCCTAAATATTTATTTTAATAAATATAAACAAACCGTGCATCATACGGGTTGACGTGGTAAAATAAAATTATAAGAAGTTTAATTGGTAAAAAACAATCTCGGATTTTCTAAGGTAATAAAAATAAAAATTCTACGTGACAAATAATATTTTTTTTTTTTTAATGGGATGAGAAATAATGGTCGTAGCGGCTAAAATTCACAAATCGGGGATTCGTCAAGATGTCATCTCTACACCTTCTCCCTTCAATCTCATCCATCTCCTATTCAAACCCCACCTCAGATAAATTCCCCAAATCCACCAAAAACCCTAATTTCATCATCTTCAATCTTCATCCCATCTCAAAATCCCTTCAATTCAACAAAACCCAATTCAATTCCTTCCTCAAAACCCCCAATTCTCTCTCCTTCAACCCTCTAAAACCCTGGAACAGTCTAATTTGCAGGAGTCTCAAAGAGTCCCAAGATGACACCAAAACAATTGTACAACCCAAAAGTGGCGGAGGAGACGGCGGTGATGGTGGCGGAGATGGTGACGGAGATGACGGAAAGAAGGGGGATTCCTCTGGTTTGTTGCCTGAGTGGTTGAATTTTACTTCTGATGATGCGAAAACTGTTTTTGCTGCGCTTGCAATTTCGCTTGCTTTTAGGTCGTTTATTGCTGAGCCCAGATATATTCCTTCTTTGTCAATGTATCCTACATTTGATGTTGGGGATCGACTTGTTGCTGAAAAGGTGAGATTTTCACTGTATTTTTTCTGGGCTTTAAGTTTTTATTTTGTTTTATTATTCTTAGAATTTGGGTGCTTTTGTTGTTTAATTAATTGTTTATACTGTTTTTGAGCTTCCCTGAGTTATATTAGTTTGTTTTCTTATGTTATTTTTATCTGTGGAGGTCCAAATTAAACATTTTACTAGCTTGATCGTGTGGGGATGAGTATTGTGGAGGAGTTTGTAAATTTGTTAAGGGGATTTTGGTTTTGCTAATTAGTTCTGATAGAATTAAAGGGTTAAAGGGTGTTAAAGTGAATTCAGCTGTGTTGTTTGAACTTCTAATACTGCATTGAAGCTGTAGTGCAAGACCTAGAAGTTAGCATTTGACATCAAGAGATGAGAATTGAGTGAAATTGCACTTTCTTAGGACAAGAATATACGAAGTACTTCGTAGTAAAGTTTGTTTGAGGAACAGTGTGGGATTCCCAAAGTGCTGAAGCTCCTACCTTGATTAATTACTTATGCTCATTGATCTTATATAGTTATATTTGGTTAACAGAAATGAGAAATGTAATCACAGGAACAGGGGATTGTGAAAATACACGTTTTATAAAAAATTAGGAAAAGTAGAATTGTGGAAAACTCAAGCTGAAAATCTTTAATGTTAACTAGAAATATCAATTTATTTTGTGTGTTATTAGAAAATAATACAAAAAGGTATTACAGCTAATTCTGTTTACGGAGTACTAAAAGAGAGATTCTTTCTGGGAGTTTAAAGATCCATCAGACTGAAGTACTTGCTGGTCGTCTAAACAAGTTTCCGCAGAGTTTCTTGGAGTTTCCTAGTTTCCCTAATGGAAAATGTTATCTTCAAGAAAATTGTTCGCATAGCCATCCAAAATATAATTTACTTTTTGGCAGTTGTGCAAGACCAAGAGGTAAGCGTAAAGTTTAAAATCAAGGGATTGGAATTTTGTGAAACTATACTATAATAAAAAAGAGCGTGTAAAGAATTTTTGAAGGACGTAGTGGGATTTCCATGAGCTGAAGCTTCTACCTTGATTAGTTACTTATGCCCCAGCGACTTTGCATTTGGTTTACAGAAATAAAATGTGAAAGCATAAGAACAGGTAATTTTGCAGAGTTTCTTCGAGTCTTTTAATTTCCCAAATGGAAAATGTGATCATCAAGAAAGTTTATGTGCAATGGCTGTCCAAACTACTCGTATATTTTACTACTACCTCTGTCCTACAAGGATTAGGTTAAAGCTTAAGTGATAAGGAAGCTTGCTGGATACTTCCTAGTATTATGGTCACTTGGCCTTAGAGAGGTCTTAATGCCACTGTTGATGCTTCATGGTGGATATTTGTAACCTTCCTTGAGATTGTTTTGGCATTTTGATTTGGAACTTATGGTAATGGTAGAACCTTTTGAGGTGACCCCCCTTTTGATCCAGGGTTGGAATAAGGATAGAACCAAGATCATTGTATATTTTGGTTAAGTAATCAAGTGTATTTGTATCCCGCTAGATCACCACCTGCTAACCTGACTTAGCTTGGTACAGAGATTGGGGAAGGAAAAGGGAGGTTGGTAGAGAGGGACTGAAAGAAGTTCTGAATGATCTTGCTTGGCTACTGGCACTGCTGGATCAGCAGACTAGTATGGGATCAGGTGAAAGTCAGTTAGGCCTCATGGAAAAAGAGAGAATTTTTTTTTGGCAAGGGTGGATGACGTTAGGTAGGGGAGAGGGGAAGAATGTGAGGTTGGTTGCTAGGTGGAGTGGTTAAGTTGTCCAAGAGAGAATTTAATATACTACTTAATGTCTTTAAGAATAATTAATTATATGTATATCACACTGATCTCCCATATCTTTTCACTTATTCTTCAGGGTTGCTTATTTGCTTCTCATCAATTTTCCTCTTTATTGCCTTAAGCGTTAAATGAGCTTAACCCCAGTACCTCACCATAGTCACTGAAGAATTTAATACAAAACTAGAGTGTAGGTCTCATAGATGGCTACTGACTATGATATGTGCGTAGTTTGTAATTTTAGGTGTTAATTTTCCATGTTAGCTTATAAATATAATAAGAAAGGAGTTTCGTGTGAGGGACGATGAATCAAGCTTAAGAAAATGGTTCCTGTTGGAGTCATTATATCTTAAAATAATACATGTATCAGTTTAATGCCGCTGTTTAGTTACTTTGTCAATCTAATCTTGTTAAATTAAGGGTTTTTTTGTCTCCAATTATCTATAGTATGTTTGTCATTAACTCTTTTATAGTTTTATTTGGTCGGGCTATGAGTCTGTAAATTTTTGTACGTCTCATATTTTACTTGTGCTGCTAGTTTTTGAATTTTACATTCCAAGCTTCCTCATTATGCAATTATCATAGTATAATTGATGTTTGTTTTAGAGATTTTCAGGTGT